AAAAACAAAAACAAAAACAAAAACAAAAACAAAAACAAAAACAAAAACAAAAACAAAAACAAAAACAAAAACAAAAACAAAAACAAAAACAAAAAATGACACCATAATTCTGCAACCAAAAGTGTATCATAAGAAAGTGCATACACATGTAAAGGGAAAAATTTTGAAAAACAGTAGTAATAAACGTATGTACCACATAAGTGCAACTTTAGTACGTTTATTTGATCGAGAAAAAATAATAATTGAAAGTTTCCGTACTAATCCAAGTTGCAGTCTTTGTGGTTTATATTTAGTTGGGCGCACTTTGGCAGGCACATTTGTATGGTTGTACGTACACGTACGAGAAATAGCGTTATTCCCGTGTCGCTCCTAATGCAGTGGTGATAACCCTGTTTTTTTTTCTCTGTCTCTACTGTTCATACCTGCCATATTGATCGCTCTACTACCTTTCAACAGATGGGAGCGTACTTGTCGGCACCTAAAACGAATAAGGAGTCCCTGGATGGAGGAAACTTAGAGCTAGACCCAAGCAGATATGGACTATCATGCATGCAAGGATGGAGGAAGAACATGGAAGATAGTCACATATGCTATAACAATCTGAAACTGAACGAAATAGAGGAGGACGTATCTATTTATGGAGTCTTCGATGGACATGGAGGACCAAATGTGTCAAAATGGATTTCGTATAATTTCCGAAGGATTTTTTTAAAATGCATAAAAGAAGCTAGTGAGGAATTAACAAAGAAGAATCTCCACGAGTCGCAAAATTATAAATTAAAACTAATAAAATTAACCCTTGAAAAAACATTTCTGAAATTAGATGAAGAAATGCTACTCACGGAGAATCAAGAAAAATTAAAAAAATATAGCGTGCCAACACAAGAAAATGAAGAAGAATCAGACACAAGGGAAAATTATTTGTATTCCATGTTGAATGACATCATATCGAAAAATATCAGCATCAAAGCTGTAGAGAAAGATGGGAAGAGGTGCTTACAGGTTGTTTATAATAAGGATGGAAATCCAGTAGAAGAAGGCAATGGAGAATCTTCCACCACGCTAAACGATGAGGAAAATAGCAAATCGCCTGACTTGTTAGGCAACACGGATGGTATAGTTAAGGAGGAGGATGAAGAAGAGGACAACGATGAAGATGAAGATGGGGAAAAGGAGACTGCCAAGGAAGAGGGAGCGAAAAAGGAGAGCTGCAAAGATGGGAATAACAAAACTTTAAAGAAAGACGACGATTTCCCCGAAGATTTAACTACCAGCGATGGGGAAGAAAAAGCTGCAGTCAAGGGGGAAGTACAAAAGGGCAAAAAGGAGGAAAAAACGGAAGAGGGTCAGGAGAACAAAAGTGCAAGTAAGAAAGACAAAACAGGTGCAGAGGGAAAAAATGAGGAAGCAAATGTGGCAGAGGGTAAGTGTGAGATGGACTCAAATAAGGCTATATCAAGTGCTAGTGGCAGTGAAGGTAAAGGCAAGGCAAAAGACGAGGATGGTAAGGAACACGTCGATGGGTATGCCGACGACGGCGAAAGTGCGGAAACGAATACGAAGAGATTGAAGAAGGGCATGAATAACGAGTACGCAAAGAGCGAAAAAGAGAGCAACAAGGAGGAAGACCTGAGCGATGGCGGTAGTGGTAGCACATGCGAACCGGTGGTTAAGGCCGAACTGACGTATGATAACCTAAAGTCCATGGAGGAGGCAGCGGCCAAGGAAGCTAAAAATAATGGGGCAAACGGTAATTTGCCTGGTTTTGACGAAAGCGCACTAAGGTTATATGAAAAAGGAAACAGTAGCACTGAGGAAGGATTTTCCTACGACGATGCTGTGACAAACGTAATTGATAACAACATAAGTAGTAATAACGACGCCAGTAACGAAGGAGACGATTGCAATGGATTATATTCTTCTGACGAGTTACGCCTATTTGAAAATTATTACTCAAATGATTATGAAGATAACATAGCTTATAGTTGCGGGTCGACAGCACTAGTAGCAGTTATCCTTAAGGGGTATCTGATAGTGGCAAATGCAGGAGATTCTAGAGCCATCGTTTGTTTTAATGGCAACTCGTTAGGTATGTCCACCGACCATAAGCCACATTTGCAAGAAGAAGAGGCCCGAATTAAAAAGGCAGGGGGATATATTTCTAATGGAAGGGTAGATGGAAATTTAAATTTGACAAGAGCTATTGGTGATTTGCACTATAAAAGGGATCCATTTTTACCTCAGAAGGATCAGAAAATTTCTGCGTTCCCCGAAGTTACTTGTGTTACGTTAACTCCGGAAGATGAATTTTTATTTCTTGCTTGTGATGGCATTTGGGATTGTAAGGATGGACAAGACGTGGTCGGATTTGTAAAGACGAGACTTGAAAAATTCGAAGAACCGACAAATGATGAAACTGTAATTGACAACACAGACAATGCTAATGAAAATGCCACAACGACTATTACCACTAATGAAAATATTGTTAACAGTATGGGCAATGATGAAAAGGATAAATCGAACGAGTTGGAGCAAAATGAAGCAAGCAAGGAGAACAAAAATGCGGAAGGAGATGAGGTGGTGGACTTACCAATAGGTAAGAAGAAACACAACAAAGCGACTGCTAAAGGCATGAGTAGCAACGATGAAGATGTTGAAAATGGTAGTGAGAAAAAAACGACAAAGGAAGAAGGAGGCCTTTCTGAAGGTGCTCATGGGGAAGACCACGACGATGATGATGAGGAAGAGGATGAGGAGGAGGACGAAGAAGATGAAGAAAGCATCAATCATATGGGAGACCATGATGGATTAGAAATTGATAGATATGATGAGGACGACACGAAATTCGATTCCGCACCAGTTATCGTCAGGAAGAAATTCGAAAAGTTTAATAAGCTTTCCCAAATTTGTGAAGAATTGTGTGATGAGTGCTTGTCCAACAATTACAAAGAGAATGATGGAATTGGATGCGATAACATGACGTGCCTGATCGTTCAGTATAACCCCATTTATAAAATACACACAGAGAAGAAGTTTTTAAATATAGACGAAATTGAGTAATTTCCGGGAGGTGTGTCGTGTGGTTTGTAGAGGCTTATAAAAAACCCTGCGTTGAACATGTAAAAAAACAAAATGGTTGGGTGACTAGGATGAATGGGCACACATGTGAAATATATACAAGCGCGTTATGTGTGTGCGTCACTCACCCACTGTTTACTGTTTACTGTTCACTGCGGGCAAACGCGATGGCCACAGCGCAACCCCAATGCACTCTCTAAATTGTCCAGTTGCTTCACATTTAAAAATAGCAAAGACGCACCCTAATTTATGCTATTTAAATGTGCACTCAGTAACATTTTACATGCCCCAATGTTCTGTGAAGTTTTCCCCACTTTATACTGCCACTCTTCAGTTTAAGCAATAGGTAGTGTATATATTGTTTGAATGACCAAGGGAAGAGCAGACATACAACAAAAAAAAAAAATTATATATATATATATCTAATAATAAAAATGAGAATGGCTGTGCGAGTTGGAGGTCCTTTTCATATGCATGAAAAACGCCCCTTCCCATTGTAAGAATGTGCGCCACGACGTCTATGTTTTTATTTCCCACACTGTAGTACACACACTGGAATGTATATGCTGCGAAGCTTGCGTCCCACGTGTGTCCCTTTGCGCGCTCGCCCATGCGTGCGCTTGTTATATATATGTGTGTTATACCCTTATTACTTGTTACTGTTATTATTACCATTATGGTTACTATTAATATTACTGTTATTTATTTATTATTTATTTATTTTTTTTTTTTTGAAGATACAGCTCTCCCTTTTTTTTTTTTTTCATTTTTCTAATACCATGCAACTGGCATGCCAATACTTTGCTCACAATGTGAATAAGTTATATTTATTTATACAAATGGATTATTATGCAAATGTGGCTCTGCGCATTTGTGTGCAGGGAAGTCATATGACACTCGCTTGATGCCGTGCTGGAATGGGGGGTCTGCACACATGTGCCTACGCCCACACGTACATGCGCGCGCACCTGCTCAGTGGTAGGCAACGGACCTACACGCATTAGCACATATTACTGCGAAAACGCAATAGCACATAAGTTGTTGTATCACCTCACATAAAAAAAAAAAAAAAAAAAAAAAAAAGAAAGAAAGCGTAACTATATATATATGTATGCATGAGAATATATATACGTACAAAAATGTTTTATCGTCACCTATATGGTGCTTTTTTTTTTAACCTATTTAACTGTCAATTATTTAAAACCCCATAAATTAAGAAAAAAATAAATAAGTATAATTTTTCCTGTGTCTTTGCCGGACCGTTTCGTAAAATAAGACGAAAACGTGTGCAGGTAGGCGACGTGGCGTTGTCAAAGTATGTCCCACATGAGAGATACAGTGGGGGAGTTCACACTTAACGAGCTAGCGTCAAAAGGGGATATATTCCTCCTGCACGGCATACGTGCCAGAAAGTGATGCGGAAGGAAGGGTGGTGGGGGATATTTTGCGTTGGGTTCATATGAATAGATTTGATTCCTTGGAAGACGTCAGAAAAAATGTGAGCATTTTTTTGATCTTCTTTTTCAGTTCGTCATCGTCTAGGCAATCCAAAAAATCTGCAGGAGGGGGGGGGAAGGTTATGAAAAGGTACATTTGTAACGCTGCTAAGTGTTAATACTTCTTAAAAGTGACGCGCATGACGAGTATGCATTTGCCTACCTAGTATGTTTTCATATATGGATTGTATATCAACACTACGTGTGTAGAGGTGAATAAAAATGTTGTTTGAAATGTAAGAATTGTTCTGGAAAAAAAGTGTTATTAAAATGACATCGGTGAGCTGATAAATGAGGTATCCTTTGTCACACAATTCGATGTATTCCAAATTTTTTTTGCAATCATCATCAATTTGAATATTCATTTTTTGTAGATTTTCATTTAATAATAATTTTTGTTTGTTTTTTTTCTTTTCGTTGAGAATAATATCACTATATTTTTGTCTGATTTCTAGGAGTCGACTTATCTTTTCACATTTTTTTTCTCCAAATTTGTTGAGGACTCTGCCAAGTGAAGTATCAGTACAGTAGAGACACAAGTTCGAAATGACGGTGATTATATTTTCTTCGAATTCAAAAATATGTACTTTAGTCTTTTTCATGTTCCTTAACATAAATAAACAGAAGAGATACTTGAGGCCGTTTAATTGCACAAATCTGTTACACGTATCCTTGTCGTTAAGTGTGATGGCAAAAATTTTAAGAGAAGGGAAACAAAGGAATTTCCTCTCACTGAGTAACTTTAGCATTAATTCGAAACCATTAGTGCTCTCGAATACGCTTCTGTTGTCACTTAGGAGAAGCAGATTTCCAAGTGCTTGAAAAATGTTAAGTAATATTTCTTTCTTGTTTATATTTGGGGGATCATTATCCTTGTACTTTGAAATGTATTTCAAAAGAGAGTTAAAAATCGAAATGGTGTAGTAAAAATCCTTGTATACATTTTCTGCAAATTGGTTGATCCTCAAAATTAGAAGGACTAATATTTCACTGGCGTTTAACGAATTTGAGTCATCACTTCTCAACTCCGTACTTATTCTTTTTAAGAGAAAAAATAAGAGCTTTGAATTTGTTAGCAAATCATTTTGTAAATCATTTTCCAGCTCGAAAATATTTTCAAAAATGTTGAGAATAGAGGACATGGCATTATAGTATTCCTCATTCTCCTCTTCATTTATTTTATCCAATATGTTTATAAGAAAATGGCACAATTTTTTCTTGTTCAGACATTCCACTACCATATCGTTTTGCTCCTTGTTCAATTCGTACAAATTTGAAGGGTTGGTTATTTCCTTAATTATGTCCACCACCTCGATCACGATGTCGTTGTTCGGGTGATTTAACAAGTCAATGATGTCTGCCAGAATTTCGCTCTCGACCATGCTACTGTACAGGTTTGAACACACACTTAGGTTTTTTATATTCACTAAAATTTCGTCTAGATCCACTTCGCTCATGACCCACTTTTCGGGGTTGTCTGGGTGTTCCATTCTGTCTCGCTCATTTTTGTTTTTTTTTTTTCTCAAAGCCGTGGCCACTTTTTTGATGCTGTTTTCGTCTACGCATTCGATCTGAAACGGGGGGAAGTAAAAGAGGGGGGGGTGCTGTGTACAGGGCGACATGAAGAAAACACGTTGGTGGGGGACAAATCCACTAATTTATTCGAGGGGGCTAAAGAGAGCGTAAGAGGAAGCGGGTATAAAGGGCGAAATATGCTTTACGTGCCCCCTCTTTCAGCCACTTCTCGTTACTTCCCCTTTTAGCCGCTCAACAGGCCTTACGTTCTCGGCCTGCTTCAGAATTTCCTCCACGTCGATATCGTCCTCGTCGCTATATTCCATGGTGCGCCGTGGTTACATTTTATAAGATAGGAGAGGGGGAAAAAAATCCAGGAATGGACACAAAAATGAGAGCAAACGGAATGACAAAAAACAGTAACAGAAATGATTTGATAAAAGGGTTGTAAAGCGGATGGCGCGCGTTCAACAAAAAAAAGTTAGCTAAAAAGGGGTCTTATTCATTTTTCACATTTTGTAAATTTCCTAACATTTGAAAAGAAAAAAAAAAAAAAAAAAAATTAATTGAAGCTAATTATGTGCCGCATTGTTCATATATCTGTATGAACAAATGGAAAGAAGCAACTGCAAATGTACCAGACGTATTTGCACAGTGTCCCCAAAAGTAACTTTGACATTTTTTATCATGGAGGGTGACGCATAATGTGATGGGACGGCTAGAAGCGTGGTAGCAATTTTTTTTATGAGTAAAATTTGAGCGGCATAAGCAGGCGCACCTCAAAAAGGTATTTTATATTGCCCGCTCAACATACACATAAATGGAAGGATAATTCACAAGTAGAGGCGAACTACTACCCGAACGGATTATAATTGACCAAAAGGACTATGGTACCGTTTAGGTGAGACAAAACGGACCATTCGATAAAAATTTAGGTGCGATGATTAGAATTGGGCAATTATTTACCAATTATGAATTGTAAACGAATCGGGATAAAAAAAGAACGAACAGGACGCAAGGACAAAAAGAAGCCTGCACGGGATGTGAAGATATAGCCGCTAAATGAAAGGGATAACAGGAATGAGAGGCATAATTATGTATATTACCCCTTAGTGGATTAGTTTTCCTTTTTGACTTTATTTCATTTCCTAAAATGTGAAATTCACTCGCTAAAAAAAGCCTCAGTGAAGGAAAGCACACTGGACTTCTACCTTCAGTTAATGCTTTTCTTTATGTATCATATTTTTTGAGCATACTGTCCACGATGTTTCTAATGGTGCACCTGCTGCTGGGCGTACATGTTGTACGTTGTGTTGCTGTTTGTGTAGACCCCAATTTGGTTCACCATTTGTGAAATGGGTAATTAGTCTAATGTGAAAAAGGCTTCACGCAGGTAGTGAAGATTGTATAGCGTGCTACATTTTAATGTTTCTTTTTTTTTTTATGCACGGATTTGAAAAGGGACAAGTGGAGGTAACAATTTTGTAATGTTAAATTGACGCGTTTTAGTAATTTATAGTAATTCGTACCGGAGTATACTACCTTAGACGGCATGTGGAGCAAAAGGCATAAAATCGTGCAATCGAATAAACAGACGAACAAATCTAAAGGCGCAAAAATGAAACAAAAAAAAAAAAAAAAAAAAAAAAAAAAAAAAAAATATACAAAAAAAATTCGTTTCAAACTGAGTTCGTTCGATGAGAGGGTGGTTGCAGAACACAGGTGCAGACGCGCTGCCCAATTGGTATAGCACTAGTTGGGGGGGCTATGAACGCGCTGGGGAAGTGGAAAGTAAAAATAAGTGCAGAACAATGGGTACGAAAAATTAGTGGGTACAAAACACAACAAATCATGGCAGAGCAGAGTGCTTCTCCGCCCCCCTTGGGGAACTACAAAATTTGCTTAAACAAATTTACGGAGAAGCTAATCAAGCTGTTGGAGAGAGACACGAAATGTAACTTGACCGTGTCATTGGAAGCGCCATTTTTTTTTTTCACAAAATCGCACACAATTAGCAAAAGCATCTTAGATTTGTTATCAACAGGATATGTGCTGTACAGAATGTTGTAGGAGTCAAAATGGAAAACGTTAAAGGAATTGTACAGTTTGATCGAATTGATAAAATCCTTGAATGTTGAAAAATCCAGCATATTGTAGTTGTAAGATTTGTAATAATATTTTTGCTTTCCTGAGAAATTTTTTACAAAACTGTTAAGATAAAAGCTATTTGGTTTCAGGAGGTATAGGTGTGGCAGGGGTAAAGCGATTTTCAACTTGATGGTAGTATTGTCATTGTTTAAGCATTCTACATTTAAGAACAGGGGCACTTTTTGAAGACGATTTTTTTTAAAGCGTAAGGTGTACAGTAAACAAATTTCGTTTTTCTTTAAATTTATGTAATCATTTTCTTCAGTGACTTTGTTATAATTTTTTTTCAAATTTCTTTTTACAACTTTGACGTGGTCCATTTTGTTTTCACTGAGATCACTTTTCACATAGATGATGTTGTACAGAATTGATTTCAAGTATATATTCATATATATATTTTCTTTTTTTAGTTTTTTTTCTGGTTTGTTTATCGTGCTCTTTTTACAGTCCTTGCGAGTGGTGGTATCACTGTCTTTGCTGTTCATAACTATATTGCCCTCATTTTTGCATGGACCACTGTTATTTGCAGATGGATGCACTTTGCTCACGTCCCCATTTGCATCGTTCTTGTCGGGGGTTAACAACTTTTCCTTTTTATACCCACTGCTTTTTCCTGAATCTTCGTTCACGTAATAAAGTTTCGCATATATCTTAACAAGGTTGTTTTCAAAAATGATACCCTTGGTATTTTTTCTGTAAAAATTTCGCAACCTATTCTTATGCTTCTTTATATCATCGTCTGATAAAAACATGGACTTTATTTGTGTGCTAAGATAACTATCGAGATAGGAAAATGTTTGTTCCTTTTTATTGCACTTGTTGATAATTCTTTCTAAATTGGTGAAGTAGCTTTTTTTATTTAATTCTACCGCATAACTTAATTTGCCGCTGCTATTGGAGAGAAGGCTTCCCTGGAGATTTTTGGACACCTTAACAAAGTAGTTAAATTTTTTTTCGAAACTTTTGTAATCACTCAAGTAGTCGTTTGTTGTTTTTTTTTTCAAGTGGATGAATTTCTTATTCTTGGGGTCTTTCCCCTTGTTCTCCATCCGTGTTTTGCTGCTCTGACTCTTTCGGCTGTTATCGTGATGGGGACCCCCCTTTTCCTTGTCCAGTTTCTTCTTCTCCTTTAGGGGGTCATTCCAGACGGGTGAACCCTCCCCGTGCTTACCCTGCTTGCGTCTACTTCTACCCATTTCGTTTAAACAAGTATCACTAACTATGTTCTTCTCTTTCTTACTTTTCATTTTGGAGTGACCTTCCCCTCCCTGGGATGCGTCATCATTGGACATTTCACAATTACTAAAGGTGTAATTTTCGTTGTACACCAATTTGTTTCTCTTTTTTTGTTTGTAATTACTTAGGGAGTGTTTTTTTCTACCATCCTTCTCCCGTCTGGTTCTCAAGGGGAGGAAATGACCATCATAATCATCATAGTAATTCTCGGCATCATCATGGTCCATGATGTCCCTGAGCAGGCCCTTTTTGCCCTTCAAGTTTGTAATTCTTTCCCCTGTTTGTTTCACCGCATAACTGGGCTTTTTCCTCTGCTGCTTCTTCCCCTTTTCGTTTAATTCTTGGTGTCCTTTTTCGGAAATATTATTTTGTTTATTTTCCCCTTCTTCGTTTTTCTTCTCCTTTTTTCCCTTTTTCTGTTTTTTCAGGTGATCCCATTTTGCGTGATTTTTTACGTTGAAGGAAAATGTGCTATTCGTGTCGTTATCTGAGCAGTCTCTAGAGTGGTTAAAAAAATCATCATGGAAAATATCGTTTGCATGGTGCCTAATTTTGATGTTGTTGTTCATCTCATTTAGCATTCGTCTCGTTTCAATTTTTTCTTTATCACTCTGTAGATGGCCGTTTCTTTTTCCCCTGCTGGGGGATTCCTCCCCCCTTTGTACTTCATCCATTCGCTTCATATTCAAGTCAAAGGAGTGTCTGTGTGTTTTCTTCTTCTCTTCATCGCTGCTCCAGGTCATTTGGGGTATTCCCTTTAGTGTACTTTTTTCACCCCGTTTTTCTTTTTTCTTATTCTTCCTGTTTGAAAATGGGTGATTGATTTCCCCCTTTCGCAGATGATGCTCTTGATTTATTTCCGTGGATGAAGTTGCATTTATATATTTTTTATATGCCTTGACGAGAAACTGATCAATGTGAATGTCGTTTTCTTCATCCTGCGATGCATCCAATTCGTCCGAGAGAGTAGCACTTTTATAATCCTCAGGATCGGCTGTCATGAGGATCCCTTTTTGAAGATTACGCTTAGAAGTATTTCTTCCCTCATTGTTGTTGTCACTGCTGTAGTTGAGAATCTGTTTTTTCGAACCATTACGTATACCTAGAATTTTATACAAATGCTTTGGGTCCACATTAACCTTTTTCTGACTTTTGATGAAATTATTGAGGATAATATCTTCGTACTTGGAACCAGTCTTCATATAATTGCAGTTGTTTGTAATGTCTTCTAACATATCCTTGTAATTCGTACCAATTTGTGATCCTTGTACATTTGAATTAATTTTTTTTAATTTCATTAAATTTAACATATTGGCATCATCGTCGCAACTGTTTTTGTGTATATGTTTTACCAAGTAGGATAAGTAGAGCAGAAGTTTTTCATTTTTCATCTGGGCATTTTGCAGTTGGAACAGCAAATTATTTACCTTGCTGTTCAGGTTTTCATTCACTTGATTATAATCTTTTAATTTCAATTTATTTTCTTCATAATTGCTACTGAGTTTGGTAATTTGTTGAGACAAAAGAACGTTTTCTTTTTTATTTTCTTCGATAAGTTTTTCTGCCTCTACAACTCTTTCATTTTCTTTTTCCAATTTTTCTATTTTATTATTTTTCTTCTGTACAATATTTTCGATTACTTTAATTATTTCTTTGTTCGATTCGATAATTTCCTTCAACTTGCTGTTGGCTTCTAAGTAACTTTCGTTGTCCAATTCGAGGAGCATTACTGCCTTGTCTAGTTCTTCTATTTTTCTTTCATTTTCTTTATTTTTATTTTCATAGTACACCTTTTCTTTGTTGCACACGTTATATAGTTGTTTGTACAGATTCAAATTGTTCTGTTTCATTAATTCCGTTTCGTGATCAAAATCTTTGTTTTTTAGAAAAATGTTCATTATGATGTAGGAGCAGTCACTTGAGAAATTCTTTTCATTTTTAGCTAGCTCGTTTTTTTTTTTTTCTTCTTCTTTTTTTTGTTCCGCTTCCTTTGCTTTTTCGTTTTCTGTGGTTATTCTAATACTTGGGGAGTCCACCCGCGGGGATCCGCTTGCGTCTTTTTTGCTTTCGCCGATGTTGGTGCGATCAGGAGCGAAGGGGTCGAAGTTGGATTGACCCATGTAGGGTTGGCCACTTTTGTAGTTGCTAAAGGTGGGGTTACTGAGGCTTCGGTTGGCGTCGCCAAATGATGGGTTTCCAAAAGATGGGCCCCCAAATGAAGGGGCGCCAAACGATGGACCTCCAAAAGAAGACCCTGCAAAGTTATTGTTTCCAAAGTTGGGGGTGCCAAAATTGGGCGTTCCAAATCCCTGGTTTCCATTTGCCCAATTGTACATATTTCCATTTGCGACGTTTCTGCTTACGAAATTGAAGTTGTTCGAATTGGGGCCGTTTCTATTTGTGCGCGCAAAATTGAAATTTGTCGAATTCGGGTTGTTGCGTAGGTTCTTGTTCATGGGGTAGAAGTTGTTGGGGTTGGCCCCACTCATTGGAAAATAGTTCAGGCGATTGTGCACACGGTTACTGCCAGTAGGGTTAAGACTGAATAGGTCAACATTTGGGGCGTTACTAAGAGGCTGTTGACTCATTCCGCGACGATCCCCAGAATTTGGCCACGGAAAGGTATTCACTGTCGGAGATATAAAAGAGAAATCTTTTATATCCTTGTCGACATTTTCGCCTTTAGAATTTTGACTTGTGATAGGAAATTTTATCGGGTTCGTAGGAATTAAATTTTGGTTACCACGGTTGTTATCAGAATTGTCACTAACTTGTTTTAATAAAAATGCCGTAGGGACAAGAAGTCGAGCTTTCTTCAAAATTTTATCATTCAAATTTATTAAGCACCTGTAAAAATAACTTTTTTTTTCCTTGTCCACTACATCTACGTATAAGAACAACTTCTTGTTATGAATAACGGAGAATTGAAAAAGTTCTGATACGTTTACAGAAAAATTATCAACGTTTTTACTTTTGCTTTTTTTTCTTATGTTAATTTTTTTATCTGTTGATTTTAGGGTTAGATAAACATAAACCGTTTTAAGATTTGGTGAAACGTTTATAATATCTGATATGTGAATTACTATGTCCACTGGGTGGTGTTTCCCGTGTGCGCTGACTGCTTTTCCCCGTTTGCTTTTTTTGCCCTTTGTACTGTTGCTGCTTCGCGGACTTAAATCGTCTAGCGAATCGATGTGATTGTTACTTAAGAAGGCGTCTTCAGTGTCGTTTTCATTATCATCATCGTGTGGTCCCTTTAATTTGCCATCATGTTGTTTTTTCTTTTTTTTTTTTTCTTTCTTTTTCTGTTTTATTTGAAAATCGTCCAGGTCATCTTCCAGTTCGCTGCTGAGCATGTTCATAGTATCATGGAAGGTGCCAAATACTTTGTTAAAGGAATCTAGTGAGTATGATTTTACCAGTTTTTTATTATCATTTGTGTCTTTTTCTTTACTATCATTTTCATCATCACTTTGGAAGTACTTTCCTCTTCCTTTCTCCTTGTCCTTTCCCTTCTTTTTCTTTTTCTTCTTTTCATGTTCTTTTCTTCTTCCGGGGCTTCTGCCAAAGCTTCCGCTTCTACTACGGCTTCTGCTTTGGCTTCCACTTCGATTTCTTTTGTCGCTGTCTTCCTCCTCGTCATCTACACTTTTGTATTTCTTCCCTCTCTTCTTACTGTCATGTTTTTTATACCCTTGGTGCGATTTTTTTTTTTTTGAAAAATCCCTATCGTCGTGTGCCATTTGAATTGCCCCATTTTGCGGGGACCATCCTCCTTCTGAAAAACTCCGTCTGCGGTCCTTGTGGCTTTTCTCGAAACTTTCGAACAGCTTGATGGATCGGTTCACGTGGGTGGACGCCTGCACGGGGTGGGTTCAACGCGGGGGTGCACACATGAATGCATAAGCTCACAAAATCATTCATACATGCAAGGAGTAGGGACGCCCCTCTCAGCACAAATGCGCACGCGTAAGAAGAAGAAATAAACATACCTCTACTAGCTGCTCAAACAAGTGGGCATTTCCCTTTTCCAGAGCCTCCAGCGTTAACTTCTCCAGAGTCATTAGGTCTCTAAAGGAGGGGCAACAAGCGATCATGTGAATGTGTGCATATGAAGAGACAACCTGTTTAAGCAGGCACACATATTGACACATGTACATCTGCTCATTCATGTATTTTGAACTTGCTTCTGGTACATTTTCACAATAGAAATTTTTGTGCGCTCCTTACTTTTTACATTCCGCGTAAATGTCTTGCATCACTTCGATATCTACATAAAAAAAAAAAAAAAAAAAAAAAGATGGTTACATTTTGACGTGAATTCACGTGCTACCTTTCTTGTTCGTTTTCAGACGCGCTCACATATGTGGGCTCCCGTTTGTGTCAAATCTAATTTTTCATTACCTGCTGAGTTGTACCGTATACATGCCTCCAGCTGCTTGGCTAGGTCCTTAAAATGTATGATGTTCTCCTTGACGTTTTTCATTGTCGAAGATGCCCAATTTTAATTAATACTAGAATAACTTAAAAAAAAAAAAATATAGGATTCTGTATTGTTCTTTTTTTTCTTTTTTCTCAATTGGTATTTATATCATGTATGTTATCCTTTTGAAAAACATTTTAGAAATTATACTCCATAATAAAAAAAAGAAAAAAAGAGAAAAAAAAAATACAAAAATATATATGTTTTTATGCAGATGCGATGGTACTTTTAACGTTACAAGAGATTTTTGCTACCAGTGTTGTATAATTAATTCCTTGGTCTGCAGATCATCGCAGCCTAAGAACAAAATCAGTCTCGCTTCCTATTTCTAGGTTACGAAAAACTATATAACGTAAAAACAGCGACACGCACATTGGGTGGGATGGACAAAACTTGCGTACTAGTTACATACAAAAATGTGAACGTACCGGATTTGCATAAAAATGTAAATATAAAAATAAGCATATGCTTAAATTAAATGGTAAATATAAAAAAAACAAAAAAAAAAAAAAAAAGCCGGAAAATCAGATAGTTCTTTAGGCACTATAATGTGGCCATAAAAATATTTCCATGCCTTTTTTTTTTTTTTTTTTTTTTTTTTTTTTCTAATTTTTCAAGGAAAAATTTGAAATACATCAATTAGGCATATATATATTTTTTCCTGTTTTTGTTTATGCGATTTTGTAATGTATACTTTTCATCGGGCCTTCATATATTACTACTTCTTCGCTTGTCATTTGCTGGTGGTTAATTGGTCATTTATGGCTAAATGGGCTAATTGGTTAATCGGTCCATCAGCTACTCGGTCACAGCTGGCCTGTCACTGTGATTTCTTTTTCCCGTTTTTAACAATTCAATGGGCTTACGAAATGAAGGTTTAATTTTTTTTCCCTTTTCAAGTGCTTGCCCCATTAAACAAATCAACACGTAAAAAAAGCTGTTCACACTGGGACCATTTACACAATTGTACTTTTATTTTTGTTCCCCACCCCTTCTATAAATTTCCTTAATCCTAAAAATGTGGACTTATTGGTTTTTTCCCCAAATAAGCACAACTTTTTTTTGTAAATTGAGGAACACGCGAAGTGTCGACGTTTTATAACTGCGCATTTGCACAGAGTCGGGGTGAACATGAGGTTTTTCCTGCTTGGCACATCACTCGTCATATTTGTGCAGTACAAGGAAATTTACAAATTTACATGTTTACACGTTTTCCATTTGCATGTTTTCATGGTTATACATTTGTTACACGGCTATCCACACTCACATGTTCCATTTTCCTTTTTCTCTATGCACTATTTGGCATTTCCCCCATAAATTCGGAAAAAAAAAAAAAAAAAAAAAGTCCTTGAAAATAACGCGAACTCCTTTGGAAAAGTCGTAAAGCAGGGGTGCACAAAGTGGTGAGAAAAATGTGAAAAAAACATGACACGAATTCGCACAAACTCAAAACGCGACGGGGGCGGGGGGGGAAAAAGGTTTCCATAGGGAATGAAGGTGTGACAAATACACTTTCCAATTTACGCATTTAAATAATCAAGCAAAAATTAGGCGAACGTGTTTTACAATGACACAAAAAATGCAAACTGGCAACAGCGAAAGGCGAAAAAGGTAAAACGAAAAAGGAAAAACGCTAAATCAAACAAGCAACGTCAATCACCAAATTATTAAAAAAATTGCGGAAAAAAAATGTGTGAAACAGGGGGCAGGAAAATTGGAGTGAAAATCGAGGTACGTGCTGTTTCTATGTTGGTATAAATATGCATGTGCACATAGGGAAAACATTGTATACACAAAAGGAGTAAAAAAAAAAAAAAAAAAAAAAAAACTAATTTGCAAAAATGCCAACACGGATGTACTAGTAAAACATGTTCGCACAGGAAAACATATCAACTTTTTGTACATTAAAAAAATGTTGTAAAATCAAACAAACAGAAACAATGTTGAGGGGGGAACGAGGGAGAGTCCATGGCCTTTGCCATCATATTAAGGTATTTATGCCTGCGCAACGGGGTTAAAATGTTAAAATGATATAGGCTAGCGAATAAGCAAATAAGCTGGCAGCACAAAATAAGACGTCTATCTTGCACGCACACACACATACATACGCACAGAAAAGAGGGTAATATAAACGCAGCTGCGTCGTACAAGCACATAAGTCTTACCAAAGAGCAGGAGTACATTTTCGGGCGTAAATTTTGCAGACATTAAATTTGAGTGGTTAACACCGTACGATTTGGATAGATTGACATATGGGTGGTTCCTTTTGCTTTTGGACTCTTCCAATTTGATTTTCTTTTTCTGTGTTGAATGTTTTATCTCATGTGATGCTGTGAAGGGGTGGGGTGGCGGCAACAGTTGATACATGTGTGAAGGCCATATCGCAAGAGCGTGTATATTTGCATACACTATGCAAGGGATAAACGTGCATCTCCATTTCTACACACACGTACATTGTGAACGTGTTTCTTTTTTTTTTTTTTCCCGCATGGTCAGTACGAACCAGTATGCACGTAATTCTAGTGGCGGGGAGTAGAAGCAATTTGAACTGCCCCACTGTTATCTTCGCCATGCTCTCCTCTTACCTTTGGAGCAATTGTAAAAATCAATGAGGTTATTACAAGACATGGAAACTAATAAGTTATTGTCGTAACTAAAGTCGATACTCAAAATTTTGTCCTCAAACGAGTTTAAATCAGTGTCAAATGGAATCCTGCCATTTTGTGTTGCCTCATTTGTTGTGCTTAGCAATTTTGCATCTAAGTCCGTGTCAAACGGTTTGGACTTCTGTGTATACTCGGTATTATTGTGACCAGGCTTCGCTGAAATAGCCATTTTGGGTTCCACGTCAATAAATTTATCCATTGCTAAATCGATTAAATTGATGTTATTTGTGTAGCCACCTGGTGGTATAAAGGAAGAGGGGTAAAAAAGTGTATTCGTGGTGCTAACACAGTCAAGTGTTACTCCTATCTAATGATGTGCATAAACTGAGGGCAGCACTAAATCTTTCGATCAACGCGGAATGAAAAAAAAAAAAAAAAAAAAAAAATACCTGCATAGGATAGCAATCTTCCATTTTTGGAAAAACTCAAGGAAGTAACTCCCTGGTTACTTGGGTAATTATTTTTGAATCTTTTGATAAAAGAGTTTACTCTGACATCGTACAGGTGTACATAATTGTCTAAAAGGCAGGAGGGCGGGGGAGGGAAACGAGTATAAGAAGTGGTAATGCTAATGAACGTTAAAAGCGGGCACATGTTGGGGGGTGTCTTCCTGAATGAGTCTCACGCTGTGGTGCGCTTACCGTAGTATCCACAAGCCACAAGTGTGCTATTGTAGTGGTATTTGGAAACATTGGCGGGGCAGTTATACGTGTAAGTAATAAAGGGGTATGTTCTATTGGTGGAGTAGATCCTCAAATTGCCATCATCTTCACTGGAGCAAAAAAAGTAACCCAAAAAGGCTGTGTCGAGGGACCATATAGGTGTGTGCCCGCCCACATATTTGACATAATTTTTGTTACTTATAGTGCTGTACAAATAAACATCCCCATTAACATTTCCTGATAGTAATATTTTATTAGATTCACCAAAACGTAAGCTCGTAACATTAAACATGTTTCCATACAATTTGCAAATTCCATCATTTTCGTCATCATAATCTAAGTCTATAGAGGTGGTATGATTTTCTTCTAAATATTCATGTCTCCTTGTGATAGTATCGTTCATATTGACTTCATTAATTTTTTCTTCTTCCATGTTTTTTTTTTTTTTTTTTATTTTGTTGATTTGGGACTGTTTGATGTTCCACAACTTGATTATGTTATTCGAATGGGCCGTGGCGACCAAGGATCCATCAAGGCCGGAAATTTCCGCACACGTCATGTCGCTACAATTGTTCAGACAGTAATACAGCATACTGGGCATTCTATTCTTCGTCACCTTCAGTCTGTTCTTTTTTTGCACTTTCAATATATGCTTGTAGTAATAAAACGCGTCACTGCTTTCGTTGGGTACGTAGTGATTTTCGTCCTTTTCACATCCCGGTTTGTTGCTTTCGTCCTGTGGTGTGTTTTGCGGTGCAGGGGGGGGGGAATGACACGCATGCAGCAGGTTAGCACGTTTGCGGCAACACAAACATTTTGCCACATAAAGAGCTATACAATAATACGCACACGACTTTCTGCTCTTCCACATCTTTACTCCTCCATGGAGCGTGCACTTTGTCCCACTCGGTCAGTACCTCCACACTTTCATCCTTTGTCAAATAAATAGACGGCAAGGACCACGTAACTGGAAAATCCATTTTTGCGTTGTACAGAAAGTTGGCCGAAACGAATGAATTGAAGAAGTTAAAATTGCTCTCCTGGTCCTTGATTTCTACAATTTTAATTTTGGTAGTAATTAAATTGTACAGCGAAATGCCTCCGTACACGGTTAGGTACTGCCACAGGGACTTTTTTCCCAGCCTGAACAAAACGAAAGGGGCGAGATGTGGACGAGGGAACGACATGGCTAGTGAAAAGGGCGCCTGGAAATGAACACATACGGTTTACATCAAACAGTTGCACACACTCGTTTCGCACCCAGCGCGACCACGCGAAATCTTACTTAGTCATGTGAACGACGTGCTTGGCATTTTTCTCCTTAAAGCGAATAAGCGCTATTTCAAACATCTGGCTCACATTAACACAAGTGGTCAAAAACTTTGTTACCGGTTCGTACGCAGCAAATTTTTTTAAATATTTTTTCTTAAAATCGGCAATGTGTTCATAACTGTTTGTTAATATGAGTATAAAAATTTCCAGCAGCAAGCAGAAAGACACATTCTGTAGTTGGAGTTTTATTTGAATTAGATTATTTTCATACCAATTTATAAAATCATCAAAGAGAGTTATCAACTGTTCTAAATCCAAATTTTGTCTTTCTCCTTTTGTATCAGTCAGCTGTTCATGAGGAACAGCAGAGCGTATAGTCAAATTAATATTTCTGTTAATATTATTTATTTTTTCCTTCAGTATGTCCAGGACGTCTCTATCAATATTTAAATTATTTAGCAGAGTGTCCAGGGACATATTTTTCAATAGCTCCAAATTTTGTGGGGCATTATTTCTGCAGGTGGAGGGTGTTGGTGAGTACGGTTTATTTTCCATCACTCCGTCACTTATTTTGCTACTTCCCAGGTTGTCATTTTCGTCAATTACGTCTCCAAAAAGTTTGGTTAGGGCTATCAATTTTCTGTCACTTTCCATTTGCTCAGGGGAAAGGGCTGTTATCTCTTCACCGTAGAGGTCACTCAAATTTTTCTTCATTTTGTATGACCTCAAATCGTCTTCATTTAGCAAGTCCATGCTATTTAGCATACTTTTGTCCTTGTCCATGAACACGTTTGTTTCATTTTTATTGGGGTCGTAATTTGGGAAAAAATAATTTTTATTGTTGTGCAGGTGGTTTGGGTCCTTCACGTCTTCCGGAAAGCTTAGGGACGTGTTGAGGGACGCATTAAGGGACGCGTTGAGGGACTCATTCAGAGAGGCGCTTAGCGATGCATTCATATGGTCACCCATTTGCATGTCCATATGCATGTTGCTAATCATGCTTGCACCGGAGGTTACATGGAACCCTCTGCTGCTCATGTATCCATCCGTTGTCTGCAGAACGCTCTGTGCAGTGCTATTAAAAGCGCCTTGTTCGCTGCTCTCAGTTATGTTATACATATAATTATTATAATCAATATTTTTTTTTTCCCCCTTGACATTTTGGTCAAAGGGGAATAATGCTCCTTTCTCATTCTTAGTCATTTCCTTATTTTTATCCTTTCCCTTTTCTTCCTTTTTCTCTCTTTTCTTTTTCCTTTTTTTCTCCTCCACTTGTTCCGTTTTTTTCAAATTCTCCCCATCGGTTTTTTGTTCCGTTTGTGCATTCTGGTTATATGGCCCTAGCGTATCTGTCTCGTTTCCATTTATGGCATTTTTGCCGTTACTCATTTGGTACATACCAGTACTATAGGGAGTGCTACTGCTGATGGTGGATCCTCCCGTACCTACAGTTAGATCGATCGTGTTCATATTATTTTCATTCGATGTGTCCCCGTTAAAATGGGCGGAATTATTTCCTAACTTATCGAGGGGAACACCATTGTTATCCATTTTCATTTCTTCATAAGCTCTACTTTTATTCATAATTATAGTAGCTCCTGTAGTAGTATTAGCATTATCATTTTCTTTCTTGTTAAGTACTACATCTGAGTCCATTTTACACATTGAAGGAGTCATATTTTTTTCTTGATCTGCTTGCTTCATAATTTTACTGTGACTCTTGTACTTCTTTGCCGAAGTATTCTTTACTTTATTGTTATCTTTTAGATGACCCTTTGGGATATTCACTGGGGTTGCAAAATGAGGAGATTCATTTGCATTTAGCCTTTCCTTATTGATGTGAAATTTGTACGCCTCCGCGTTGTCAAGGTTGGTCAGGGTATTTGCGTCATTGTTACTATTTGGCATGGGGCTATTAGACATATCGCCAGTCCTCATGTTCTGATTCTTGACGATAATATTTCCAAATGGCGATGGAGCCATGCTAGCGTTCTCGGGGTTGGGGCCCTTATTCAGGTTACTCCCTTCGATTAAATGGTTGTATCTGACTTGTTTGTCTTCATTCCCACTTTTGTGGTCCTTTAAATTTTCCACATTTTTCTTGTATGACTTGGCGTCTAATAGGGTGTTCGGCGGTGCGAAAAAGGGTTTTACACTGCTGGGGGTGGTTTCCGCCGCGTTGTCGGTTCCATGGTGATTGACGCTACTGACGCCATAAGGACCATAATTCGCCTGCTCGTTAAACAACATATTAACCGCTTTGTTCATATGCCTGTAATCTGCGTCCTTCACCTGGTTGTTGAGCTTCGCTTCGGCCAAGGCTTCTGCGTGAAAGCTGCCTTTATCATTTGGGCTAAAGGTGAACACTTTATTCATACCACTTTTGGCGTTCATCGGGGTTATACTCATGGCTTTGTACATTTGAGGGGCGTCTAAATTTTTCAAATTTCTCGCATGGGTGGAGCCGTTGCTCATGCCGCTGGCACTACCAGACGCTCCTCCACTGGGGGTATTCCCAGAGTTCAAACTACTCAACTGCTTAGACGAGATGTACAAATTATCCTTGTCGCTTTTACCTAACATATATTTATCCATATTTTTATAAACATTTTCTAAATATTCTTTTTCCCTATATTGGAGCATAGAGCTGCTTTGACTATCTTTTACATTTTTCATTTTGTTGTTTAAAGGGATCATATTGTTCTCCACATTCTTCATATCATTCACGTAAAATCTGTTCATGTTAATCCCATCAGCATTTCGAAAGTGCTTGTTATTCACACTGGTTTGCATGACCATTTTGTTACTATTATATATATTAGCAAAATTCTCCGCATTTTTATTCGCGCCATTGCTATCTTGCGGAGATTTTCCTACACCCTCTGCACCTAACATTTTATTATTCATTTCTATGTTGCTTTTCATCATGGTGTTATAATTCACATTGTTGTAATTATAGTTTAAATTGTTCATAACATTTTCCCTTAGATGATTATTGTTACTTTTGCTGAAAAGGTTATTCATATTTCTGCTGGCACTTGGTATGTCGGAGTTAACCATTTTGATTCTGTTTTTCAAATTCATGTCCGTCTGGATATTCACACCAGTGTTGCTTATGTTTACTTTGGAGTTCATGTTACTCATTGGGGTGTTCGCACCACTTCGCATGATACTAATGTTGCCATGCCCCCCCGACAGTGTGTTCATTGCGCCTGGCATGCTGCTCATTCCAGCAGGCAGGCTGTTCATACCACTAGGCAGACTGTGCTTTCCACCGGGCATATTGCTCATACTTCCTGGCATGCTGTTCATACCGCTGGGCATGCCATTCGCATAGCCAGACATGCTGTGCTTCATACTGTTAGCCAAACTATTGAGGTTACCAGGCATGTTTTTTAAATTCCCATGCATTTTGTTCATATTGCTGTGCAGCTGGGCCATCCCGTTGACGTTGCTCATTCCGCCCATGCTGCAGGGGACATTCAAATTGCTGCCTACCATTCCACCGGAGCTGTTTCTGATGTTGTTGTAATTTTCGTTATTGTTGCCATTGTTGCTGCCGTTGTTTTTGCTGAAATTGTTATTCTTGTTATTATTATTCATGTTATTCTTGGGGTGTGCGCCCCACGTTCGCCTTCACCTTCACGTTAACGTTATTTATGTGTGTTCTCGCGGTGTGGAGAAGGACTGCTTTCTTCTGCGGAGGAATGAGGATTCGGAAGGTGCCACAAACAGGGCAGGTCTGAAAAGTGATACTTTTTATGGCTGACTCTGCCACGAAAGTTTTTCACACGCTAACTCTTTGCCAACCTTCCTTTTATCATCCGTTCTTGCTTCAATAATGGTGTCCTTCTGTGCTGCGTTTTATTTATTTTATTTTGGCCGCTAAGTATAAATCACTATTGGTACAATATGCTTATTCACATTCGCGTGCGTTCATTTTTTTTTTTTTCTTTGCGATGAATTGAAAACGGCTGCCCTTTTCCCAAAAATCATGATTTGCCGAGCCTTCCCGATTTTATGGCAGCTTTGCCGAATGCTACTTTGCTTATTTTATTTTATATTTTTTTTTCGCTGCTTTCCTTATTTTAATGCAAGTCTGAACGAAAAGCCTAGTTTTCAGCCGTTCTCATCTTTTTACTCCTCCAAAAAAATGGGCCATATATATATTTGCTTGCTGACTGGTGCCGCACGGCGTTCCCAAATTAATGATACGTGTGACCATGAAATCGGGAACTTCAAAAAATATGTGGGATGTTAGCTAAAATTTATATAAAGCAGCACGGGTGGGTGTTCACAATTTTTGGCGAACAGGAAGAAGTCGGGCCATTTTCCACCCCACTGTTAACTTGCGCGAATTCAGCAAACTTTCGTAATTTTCAAAAAAAATTCACCCAAATTCCCCAATTTGCCTATGCGCGATGTTTAGCCCCAATTTAAATTATAGTATGGCGCTTTCTTTCCCGCTTTTTTACAAATTATGCCTCAGATCCTGCGCCATGCATACATTTGCGTACGCTTGTGTATACATTAACACGCACATGTATTTATGCGTATATGGCACACAGAGTACATCTTAACATTCCCGCAAAGGTGTACGAATATTCCACCTCATATTGTAACAAACTGGAAAGGAAACAAAAAAAAAAAAAAAAAAACGTGTTCACAGGTTATACATAATTTTGTATGGCCTTATTTTGTTAACTCGTAGGTTTTACATAAATTGTTCTTCAGCAGATGGGCACCAAAAATTATCCCGTGCTTGTAAGCAAAGGTATGTTTATAACATGTGTAAAAAAATTGCTTATATTAGTCACCTTTGAACAAAATGAATATATTATCCGCATATGTTAAGTCACATGTGATAACCTCCTGTGGAAAAATTTTTTGACTCGCAAAAGTGAAGTTTTGGAAATGAGCTATTGCTATTTTTTTTTTTTTTACTATTTTTCCAAGTTATAAAGAAGTGTACGGTGTATTACGTAAATCCGCGGTTTCTTCACAAGTTTGATCATCACCAATGTTTTTTTTTTTTTTTTTTTTCTTATCATACATAAGATATGCATTAATGAGCGCGATTTGTTTCTCGCTGTCCCATAAAACTTTATAGGGCAGTAAATCGATTCGAACATTTCGAAAAGAGCAACAGAACAATTTTTTCGCAGTTGCAAAGAGGCGACAAATAGTTATGCGTGTTGTACTGCATATATAGTGTCTATGCGAACTCGTGGTGAAAACAAAAAATTATGTGGATTATATACGTATTCACATGGGACCACATGACACATTCATTGTAAAAAATGTGCAGTGAAAACAACCGTAAGGATTAAATTCTGTTCGTGTACGCCTCGCGCAAAGGACTCTACAGCGCATTTTTAAAGGAATTTTACTTTGTCATTTAACGAAATGGGGAAAAAAAAAAAAAAAAAAAAGAAAAGGAAAAGAACGAAAGACAAAGCAGCGGTAAATATCTGGCCAAAGTTTTTAACCAATTGCAATTTTTCCTTTTGTGTAAATGCCATTGCAACTATGGACATTTAAACTGTCTTAGGTGAAATATCATTTTTTTCTAGTTTTATTAATAACCAGTTTTTGAAAGTAAAAAAACAAAAAAAGAAAGTCCACAGTGCACAGCAACCCCACGGTCAAGCACACACATGAAAAATTGATGCGTACATTTTTTTTATTTTTATCATTGCCCCTTCTTATGCAGCGTAGGCATAGAAAAACCATACCGTCTTTTTTTTTGTTCATTTTTTTGGGGGAGTGAAGCTTTTTTCCGCAAAGAAACAAAAAGAAAAGTTCTCAAAAAATAATAAAAAAAAGATGTATGTCACGTAGCAGTGTAGGCGAAAAATAAAATTAAAAAAATATAAGCACATCTGAACTTCTAAAATCTGAAGCTACAACTGCTGGAACGTGAAATACCCACTCTTAAAAATAACCGAAAAAAAAAAAATAATGACAAAAGAAACATAATACTCCAAAGTTTGCACTATATATATAGTTCGTACCTTGCCTTTCGATGTACTTTATTTTGTTCTCACGTGCGTTTTCCACCTTTTGGCTTTTTTCCATTTGAATGAAAAGAAGCGAAGGGAGAAAATAAGCGTGCTAGCCATTACGCTTTTATGGCCGCTCTAAACTTTAAAGCAGGTTCTTCCCCCTTTTGCAAAAATTAAGGTACGTCATTATTCTGTAACCATATTTTATCTAAAATGGATTCTTCATAGAAGCGATGAAAAACATTGATTTTGCTCGCTTCAATATTAAAAATGAATGTATTTTGGTCCCCTCCACCTTACGCATGCACGGCGGGCAGAACATTTTTGTAGAGTTATGGAAGAAAAAAGGGAATGAAATAGAACATCGCACATGTGTTGTGTACACATGTGGGTTTATAAACTTTTATTTTTCAGAAAAACAAAAGAAAAAGAGAGACTTTTAAGAATAATTTTTTTCTTTTCACAAAAGCACACCTAGCGATATAAATCCACATCACCATCATTTGAGCACGTATTCTATGTGCAGCATCAGCAAATTTAACATACATCATCTGAATCAATGTTCTGCTAAGCTGTGCGCACATTCTTGAATCCTCCTTTCACTAAATAAATGAAATGTACCTTTTTCTTGAATTTATATATCTGAATCACATTGAACCCTGCACAATTTTCCTGCAGAATTCTCTGAACAATTTGAGCCTGTTCCTCGCGGCACCACGCAATTCATGCGTGTGTTTTGTTCTTATAACTGCATTGCTTTTTTTTTTTTTTTTTTGTTTTATCGCTTAAAAATTTGCTGTACATCACAAAGAAATGTATTTATTGAAGGAAAAAAAAAAAAACAAAAGAATAAAAAAAACAAATAGAAAATGTGCAATGGGATTTATGTCACTGTACAACGTAATCAGTATATATTCCTACTGAATAACCGATTCGGTTACAAAATAAAAAATTTCAATGTCATTCGCGAGAAGGAACATACGGATCTTCATTTAATTCTTTTATTTTTATTTTCGTAACCTTATTTTCCCTTCACAATGCAAAGAATAAGAATGAGCAAAGCATTTGATGCAAAGAACGATTGTTGTTTTTTTTTTCCCCCAAAACGGCTATTTTTTTTTTAAAATGGATTCTAGAGTTTTGAAAAAAATTAAATTTATTTTATATGGGAAGCATGCACATGCGCAAAAGGCTAATGTAAATTACTCCCCTAAACAAATGTGCATTATGCCTATCACCGAAATGGCTGGTGTGTACACATTTAACACATTCCCTTTGTTTTTTTACTGCTTCTTTCACTAAATTTGTTTAAGTGCCCATAAATTTGATTAGGCATTTGATACATGCAAAAAATTGCCCGCCATTCTATGGAAGTGCCTTAAGTGTGGTTAGTATATTTTGTGTATTTTGTGCCATTTTACGAAATAAACTGTATGTGCAATAATATCATGTTTCCAATTGTGCAAACAAAACATATTTGCATGTGTAAAAAAAAAAAAAAACGTGTTTCAAAAATGTTCTTTTGCGTTTAAATAAATTTCCTATTTCTCAATAAGAATTAAATAAATACATGAGAATACACATTTCACGTGGGGATGCTTAACAATACGGTGTGTGCAAGGGAAAGCCAAAGGCCAAATAGCTAAGGTTAAAAGGTGAAGGCTGATGCGTAAAAGGCATATGATAACATGCGATTGGTGACGACCATATAGTCAACTCAAAAATGATGAAGGCCAAAGAGCACGGGTCAAAAATCGAAAGTCGGAAATCGTAGTGCAAGTCGAAATTGGCAAATTGATAGTTGCAAATCGATAATTGCAAATCGATAGTTGTAAATTGAGTGTTGCAAAGAGAGAGTCGTAAATTGAATATCCCCTTCGTGTGACATAAAAAAAGAAACACTTTTCAAAAAAAACAAAAAAAAAAAATACAAAGGGGAACAATGGCAAAGTAATTTCATATATGCATATACATGCATAAATGTGTACTTAGGCATACTGAGAAGAAATGTTTCTCAGACATGGTAAAGAAAAAACGAAAAATGCTTAGCTTGTACGTACCACATTTTACCGTTAAGCCAAATAGCCAAAAATGTATAAATTTATTATGTACAGCTAGTTTTTTTTTTTTTTTTTTTTTTTTTTTTTTTTTTTCGTTTGGCTATTTATTAAACAGCCATGAAAGCAACTTGTTTTTAAAGCCATGCTGAGTACACCTCGGGGAAATAACTTTTTTTTATGGAAAATAAATACATATGACTTTGGCTTATCTCATATGGCTTATCCAAGTTGTTAATGTTCCAAGCATGTCAGAAACTTGTATTGTTTTAACATTATATCTTATTTTATTTTTTAAATTTTACATATATATAAATGATTGTTTATAAAAAAATATACATATTCTGACATGCACAATATGAATTTGTACTTAACCTCTGAGTGCATAATGGAGTGCGTCGAATTTGCATACTATCACATGTTCCTTAAGTGTAAAAGTATTGATCTTTGGAGTTTCATTTGTGTGTTTAGTTAAAATATTTAAAATTTCATACACAAAATTGTTCACTTTTTTATGTTTTTCTGTTTTATTTAAAAAAAATTTTTTTTTTTTTTGATGAATGCATTCAGTTTTATTTGACTTTTATTTTTACATGCCCCGGATGAAAATTTCCGGCAGGTTACAAATAAAAAGAAACGACACCTGAGTTCTTCATGTATTTCTTTCTCCTTAATATATATTTGTGACAGTTTCGATTTCATGTTGACACCAACTTTTTGTCCTTTTAGTTGCTTTTCCGATGCTATATTGGATACATATGCATATGCACATTTTTTAATTTCTACGTACAGTCACATGCACCCACATTAATTTATACTTTTATGAATGTGCACCTATGTCGACTTGTGCGTAGGTTACATGTATATGTGTCGATATTTTCATGTGACGAGATGTACATATACCAAGTTGTGCATATGTTTATCCCGTATATATGATATGCGTGGGTGCCCCTATATTAACCTGCACATGTATGAGCTCTTGCGTAATTTAGCCAGCATACGTATTAGCGGGCTTTCGTTTTGGCTGCTAAGTGCATCGACCTCCACACGTATTTTCCTACATGCATATTGACTTGTATATATATTGACGTACACTTATATGGGCTCGTATATATTTGTTCCAACACATACACTAGCTTGTTCTTATGTATGTTGACACCAACGTACATGAACTTGTGCATGTATACATTTTTACATTCGTACCCTGGTATATTATAAGGATACATGAATACACATCATGTATGATCCCCTGTAAGAAGTGGTTCATGTATGTATTAGAGAACAGAAGTTAACGAGGCTCCAAAACCGCTCATTGCAGTTGATGTTAAGGTTGATGCGCCGTGTGAAAGCCATAATACGCATGTTTTATGCATGTGTATAAATTTTTTCCTTTTTTTGGTTCACGCTATGATTCAGTTTTGGTTTACCTTTTTGTTCTTTTCATTTTTCCTCTTTTCTTTTGTTTTACATTTTTAAACTTTCATTTTCGACCGGTGTTTTTTTTTGTGTACAGCTTAATTTTTTTTTTCTTTTTTTTTTTTTTTCATTATGCATTCTGTCAGTTTTATTTGAAAAATTCTGTAGAGTGCCTATTATACTTGGAAATATATTTTTTTTATGGTTTACACCAATAAATGTGTTTTCTCTCTTTTGGGTTGTGTTTATATGTTGCTTATTATGCTTATTAAGAGAGAACATATTGTTTATGTTCGATACATGCAATTTTGTGCCCTATATTAATGCATTCCCAAAGTTTAATAAAAAATGAGTTCATAATTTCCCCCACGAACTGAAGCTTAAGTGGAGAGAGAGAGAAGAAAATTTACATGACATGGTTGTCACTGTATATGTTACGTATCCTTAATTTTTTCTCTTAATTTGTTAACGAAGTTCTTTGCCACCTTGACAGAGAAATCATTTACCAATCTGTTAACAAATTCATTTGTCGATTTGTTAACTGTAGTGAGAATTCCTTAACGATCTGCGTTTCCACTTTTTGTTGGCCAAATGGCTTAGCCACATTGTTGCCCAATTGCATTTCGAATTTTTTCATAAGTGTTTGACAGAATTGTTCGTGGAAAATTTCGCGAACTCCATCACATATTTTTTAACCCTTAGAGTTTTGCTTAATTAACGATAATATGGTGACACAGCCCTGTTTTGCATAGTCATTACTTTTTAATTTTTGGTGTTTCGCGCAACAGGGAACATATTTACAAATGCACATATGTGTTGGTGTTGTGTACATCGTGTATGTTGCATATATATTTTTTTTGCATTTTCCATCAGCATGATTCCCGTAATCGTTTTCAGATCATGCGTATGTAGGATCCTTTATTTTCCATGCAACAGTTAACACTGGAAAAGGGTGTCTGTCATGGTGTCGCAACGGTTCGCATCGTTTTGCACTAATTCCCCTCCCCCATTTGGCTTTATTTCGTACCCTTTATGTCTATATGAGTATGCCTTTTTGTATGCTTTACATATCAGGATCGCTTAGCAGGAGTGTTTACCTGTTTGCATCATTTTGTGTTCTTGCGCCACTTCCCTTTGTGTTTAACCCATACGTTTCCTTACCAAGCCATTAGTGTTTTTACTAACACGTGCGTTGCTTTTTTAACCGTTTCGCACTGTTTAGAACCATTTGACTTTACCCCAAATCATTTCGTATCCTTTCGATCGTATTTTTGTTATTTCGATCTTATGTTTGCTATGTCGATTATATTTGTGCTATGTCGATCCAGCTGGTGTTATTTTTTAACCCTTTCGAGCTATACCTGCCCCATTTGACATTCTTGCCAATATTTCCTGCCATTTCACTATTTTCATAAAATTTTTTCCTTTTTTGAGTTTTTATGCAGTTTTTAGAATAATTTTATAGCTTTTCGAATTTTTGAATTTTTGCATTTCTCATCAAGTACCTTATCGGCCCGCGTATTACACAATGCACTCTCTCCCAGGTGCCTCTTGCAAACACGTACACCAGAATGTGCTTTTGTGATAATATGCGTATGAATAAGTGTGCGCATGTATATATATGTGTGTACACCCTTGTGCGTGTACATTTCTCTTTGTGCTTATTCTTTTTTTTTTTTTTTTATTTTGAGTTGGCACTAAATTCGCCACATGCAAGTTATGTTGTGTGTATATATATAGAAAAAGGCGTTGGAAAAGAATTTTAAAAAGAAAAAATAAAAAAGTATGTAAAACTGTACATATCAATTGTATGCATCTATCGTGCCTGCACAAGCACACATTCGAATAATCATATTCATACGTGTATTTATGTGTACCTGTGAAGGCAACAACGTGCGAGGGGGCAAATGAATATTTGAATGAATGTATGAATTTGGCACTGCATGAACGTACCAATGTCCATGCGTGCACCAGTCCATATGCAAGCTCTTACAACTGTGCAAATGCTCTAATGCGCAAATATATTCGTACGTTCATGAGCACACATATGTCACAGGTGCATCTGCCTATTTGTAAGCGGCTACGGGTGGCTAGTTTCTCTCCCCAGAGGAAGTGCATTTGCTAGTAATTCCTCCATAGCGCCATTTGCATTATTTGCATTATTATATTATTACATGCATGGTAAGAAGCCGTTTGGAAATTTTTTCCAGAAAATACCCTACGGATTTGTAAAGGCGTCTAGGATAGGGCGCAACTACATAAAAAGGGGAGCGGGACTACTAATGTATATTTTTATATAAGGAGAAAAAAAGGCGAAAAAGAGAGAGAAAAAAAAGTTTTATATAATGAAACAACTGAATATATTACTTTTTTTTTAATTGTAATCTACATTTAAAAAAAAAAAAAGAACGAAAAAAGCGAATTAGTGTAAGCATGCACAATTTGGCTCTTCATGTGAGTAGACCTACACGCAAGCAATAGAAAATTATCTTTTTTTTATTTTTGTTTTCTTTTTCTTTTATATTTTTATTTTGTCAATTTTTATTTTTCCTACATATACAATCTCTATTTATACGTTCTTTATTTTTGCCACTTACCCCGCCTCGTGCACCCTATTTTTTTTTTTTTTTTTTTTTGCATAAGATGTATTTGTTTGTTGGTAATTTTGTAATAGATATATAATTTGTTTGTTATTCATTTGTATTTTTCACTTGTTTTCTTTTTTTTTGGAATCCCCCTCCTCCTTTTTTTTAAAGTTTTTGCCTATTCTTTCCCCTCGCCCCTTTTTAACCTTTTTTTTTTTTTTTTTTTTTTTTGGCACTCTGCCCCGAATACCCTTACGCGTTATTAATTACTGCACTATACACTGTGTCGGAAAAAATGAACGGTACTCATTACGACACAAAAGATAACAACTTAAGTGACAACATGCATGACGATTTTTTAAACTACCCCAATTTTAAGAAATTCATTAACAGTAATAATAATAGTGATCATGAAAATTTCGAGGAGTCCAGAAAGTACATACACAGAGAGATAACCAAAACACTTAATGCAAATTCGGTGAAGGTATGCAGAAATAATGATGAACGAATTTTGCCAGGGAATACGTCTAATAAATTGTTCTTAAAAGGTATGGAAAATAAGAGTACCCGAAAGGACTTTTCCTATAGTGGTAAAAATGACTCAGGGTTCAAGGGGAATGCGAACCTGAACAAGTTTGTACATTGCAGTAGTAGTAGTAGTAGCGGTAGGAGGAGCAACGAGGAGTGTGGCCTTAGTAGTCAAACAGGGCACAGCAGTATTTTACACCCACGCAGCACCAGGAGTATGAAGAATTTTAGCCATGCAAGCAATCAGAGTGGAGTGAACAGTGTGACATATTCTAACAATGCGAACCATCTAGGCAGCCTTAGTGTAAACCATGTTGGGGACCCGAAGCAGCCCGGCAGCACGAGCAGTCACCGTGCAGGAAGTGTAAAGGGAAAATTGGGAACAGGACCTTCTCCATCATCACAATTTTTTCATGGCACTTCTTCGAACGATTTAAGTGATAACAATAACCATCATCCCTGTTCGATTAACTATATGAAGAAAATCGAAATGAACAATGAAGATATGGATCGAATAAACGAAGCATTATTATTAAAAGAAAAAAAAAATATATTAAAACATGAATTTCTTTTCTCGGAACCACGATGTAACACTGCTCTCGAAGAGGGAGATAACAAGCCCGCTCTAATTTTAGATAATTTTATGTTTGAAAATGAAGATAAGTTAGGTTATGTGCGAAGTAGCAGTATGAATAACCATACTTACGATTTAGCGAAAAGCAATGGCAACACGGAGGACGTTAAATTGGGTGCTTTCACCTCTAACGAGTTTGGTAGCATGCAAAGGAAGCCCCCCCCCAGGTTTGGTGCCTATCAAGGGGGAGGATATAAAGAAGAAAAAAGGAAAGAAAAAGGAAAAATTGAAGCTTAAGGAAGGTGAGAAAACGACAGAGGGCGAAAAGTTGGGAGAAGGTGACAATGCAAGAGTAAGCGAAAAGGGGAAAAGAGGAGAACAGGAAAATGGGCAACATGGCGAGCATGAAAACATTGCACATTTTATTAAGCAGCAAATTTTGGAAAATGCAAAAATCGAAAGGGGTGCATTTGGCGACCCTTTCAAGAATAATGGTTTTTTCCCCAACTCTCATGGCAACAGTGTTGGTGTTCCCCTTGACAATAACAGCGCCAGCATGAAAATGGGAAGTGTAGTTGGCGCCATGCACGCGCATAGATACGAAGCAAAAAAGCAGATACCGGGGTTCCAAAAAAGAATGAGCGAAAAAAGGGACTCGAACAACTTTAGAGGAATGGAAAGCGACCCAAACAAGTTCAAAAAGTACAATCATCTGAAAGACAATTTTCACCTGAATAACAACCAAATGCACTTCTACCCAAACGTGAATCATTTGAAAAATAAATCAGAGCTGTTTCTAACCCCCGATGTTAATGACAAGGTGTATGCAAATAATATAATGTATGATGATTATTTTACTATTGAAAATATGGAAACTTGTAATGAAAAAAAGGAGTTTTTTAAGAATGAGGGATTACACAACAAAATGAAGAAAGAAAAGTCGTTAGCATTTCGCATGCACACAAAATTTGACACCAAGGAATTAATAACAAATAGAAAAAAATATTTTCATTTTGCAGAAAATAGGGATTTAAATGCCAGCACAAACCATATGAAGAGCGATTATTACAATGAAAGTAATATGAACGAGTTTTCCCTCGACAATATTTCTAGTCAATATATTTTTGCCCCTAAGGACTATGCACCTGGCAACAACTTGAATAGGGAAGTTTTGGGCCTGGATGGTCATATGGAAAAAGTGGAATACGCTTCTTCCCTTTTAGAGGAAAGTGTAGGGGACCAATATTCTACACAAGGCGCCAAGTTACCAAATGGTATCATTGTCGAACCCCCCCCCATGCTGATGTATGACACTTGCAATGGGCATGCGTATAGGCAGAAAAACGACTGTGCCGCTACGCATGCGGATTTTGGAAGTACTTCAGTGCACGGGAATGTGAGAAGCACTACGGTGCATACCGATAACAACGGGCAGGAGGAAGAAAATGAAAACACGAATACCTTGGTGAATACGTTTACATTGAAAAGGGAACAAAATTATTACCAAAGTAGGAGTGAAATGACTCTCGCAAATGAGATGAGCCAAACAAACAGCGTTAACATGGCAGATGTGAGCAGCGTTGTTTTTAACTCTAACAGCTGTAGCCTCAGTAATGGGAACGGCAGGAGTATGAACAATAATAGTAATATGAGTAGTAGCATTTTTCCTGGCAAGGCGGTCAAGGGCTCCAATACAAGCATGTTGGGAACGTACGATATGGTTTCTCCGGAGGATAGCATCCGGAACGGCGTGTATGGGGGGCACATTAACGGTAGCCTTCACCAGCAGGGTGAAAATAACGGGGTCGTTAACGGGGTCGTTAACGGGGTCGATAATGGGGTCGATAACGGGATCCATAACGGGATCAATAACGGGATACATAACGGAATCGAAAAGGAGAATGAAGAGCCGGTCATAAAATTATTCTTCGGAAACTTGGCCCCGATTACCACGGAAAAGGATATGCATAACCTCTTCAGCAATTTTGGCAAGTGCGACTCCTTGATCATATTAAAAGATAGGAGGAGCAAGTCGAGGGGCTCGGGATTCGTCACCTTTTATAATATGCAGGAGGCAGTTAACGCAATAAAGAGTTTAAATAATAAAATTATTTTGTCAGGGGCTCACAAACCACTCGAAGTTCGATTCCCTGAGAATAAGGAAGAGAAAAAACTGAGGACCAAACTGTTAAATGCGGCAAAATGGAAAGGCAAGAAAATTGCCCCCAGTGGATGTTTGCCAATAAGTACGGAGGATATATTAAATCAGAACAGTTTGCATGTGAATAATGGCCCAGGAGGGGGAGGGGGCAGCCCGGGTGGGAATCATCACCTCCCTTATATAAACCCGATGGAGACACGCTCCTACTTTTTAACAGAAAATCAGGGGGCTATGTATGACAATAGGGAAAGCGTCATCTATGGTTGCACGGGTGGGGGTATGCTGGACTGTGCAAACGTGAACATGGTGGAGCGCGCGAGTGCGAACCATTATAATACCTGTTCAGGAGACTTTTCTGAACTAAGAAAAGCAGCTAGCGAAGCAACCAACGATACGGCACTGACAGATTATGTGAATCGAGTAGAAGAAGGCAGCAACATGTGCAGTAGTAGCCGATACAACTCGTACAAAAAGGGGCAGGAAAATTTGCCTGATGATATGAACAATAGGAGTTTGTCGAAGCAGAGGAAAAAGTACAGTAAGTTTCTACCCAATTTTCTATTAGATAATAATGCCCCAGGGAATTTAGCTTCGAATTCGTTTCAATCGCTTGATGAGGCTTTCAGCAACATTCGAAGAAGTTCCCTTGATGTGGATGTGGAGGAGGTAAACGTACGTTCGAATGGATTTGCGGCAGGGTTAGGGGTGAATGGGGGGTTGGGTCACAGGGTGGTCCACGAAACAGTGCATGAGAAGATTCCTTGCCTGCGGAGCGAGTCCAGCACTGCGGGGGAGGACACCGCGTATCATCATCATCATCATCATCATAGCATAAGTTCTGGGAGGAGTTTCCGCACGGGGGATGTCCAGAAAGCAAGTGGTGCGAGGGGGAGTGATTTCAGCGCAAATGGGTTCGTCACCGATGGCTACTTCGCGCGCGGCTTCCCTGCCAGCTTCAACTCCAGCGGGCAAGTCATGGATGAGGGGGACGAGGCCCATTCGTACTTCTCCAGCTTTTGCCACGGCTTTCCAGTGCAAAGTAAAATAATGGAAGACCCAAACAACACCTTTTTCTCCTACCTGAACAAGGACAAAATTTTGTCGAACCATAACAAGGGAGAGGAAGAAGTCTATCAGCACAAGATGGACTTTTGTAAGAAGGGAGGAGATTTCGCTGGAATAAATGAGTTGGAAGAAATAAACCATTTTCGTCAGTTGACTGAATTGGAAGAGGTGAGTGAAGCATATGAACGAGGAAGGAGCGAAAATGACATGCGCAATGTGTTGTTGCGTGGATCAGAAGAAATGGCAGAGGTAGGAAAGGAGGAGAATTTGTTGAGCGATATTTATGAAGGCAACAAAGTCATGGCCTCTGCGCCCATGAATGAAGAGGGGTACAGTAACATGAACGTGCATTATCTAGGGTTCGATTTGTCCCGCCTGATACAGATAAATGAAGACATACTGTTGCCCCAGGGGGAGGATGTGACGAAAACGAACAACCAGAACGACAACTCCAATGTGGGTTCTACTAGCCACCAAGTGATGGAAGATAGCCATGTAAATGGAAAGGAAATAATGACAAGTGACTTCTACCAACACGGGACAAGGAGTAGCAGCAGCAGAGGTAGTAGTAGCAGTAGTAATGATGGTAACGACATGTGTAAACTCAATGTGGGGCACGCGCATGGCACCATGGATCTACTAAATGTTGACCTGATTGGTAATAAAGATTTTGACCTGAATGACAACTTAAGCGATGAAATGCTAGGAAATTTAATAAGCCTTTATGCTCAAAATAAATCCTCCATGATCACTTCCCATATGTTTAGTTACTTGAATAACGTCTTGTGCGATGTAAACAGCGCCCTGGATATTTTTAACAAGTTCAGTGTGAAGACGCCGATGAAGAATATTGCGGAGGAGGAGAGTCTTCCTGAGTGACGAAGTGGGGAGGCGTACAGACGCTGATGAGGCGAAGCGGTACAACTGCATAGCGACTGATGATGACTCCCTGATTGAGACCCCCACGATTCATATTTTTTTTTTTTTTTTTTTTTTTTTTTTTTTTTTTTTTCCAAGATGAGCATTATAGGGAAACTCATATATACACATACACATAAGCATACGACGGATGTAGGTGTGTGTGTATATATCAGTTTACTCATGTTCGGATTGTGAAAAAAAAAACAAAAAAAAAAACCAACTGATCAATTGTACTCACGTTCAAAAGTATACATAAACGCCTACACCATGTATACAAGGATACCATATAAGTAATGTAAAAAAAAATAATAAAATATATAAATGATGACACCTAGTTGTGAAGCATATTGGGATGGACTCTACAACTGTGCAGGACATTTTACCAAGAAATGGATCAAAACATCGGTTCTCAACATATGCGCCTTAAATGGGAAAATTAACAAAAAATAGCCAAAAATAAAATGACATGTTTTTATAGCACACTATAGTGGAAAGTGTAATTTTTGTCGTTTTACCTTTCCAGGCTGTTTACACCTGTAGGCATGCATCTACACACACATAAATAGCACACTCAATGCGTGCCTTATTTGCAAAGACAGAAAAAACATACCTTTTTATACTTAAATAAGGGAGAGAAAAAAAAACAAAAAAATTACAAAAAAAATAACAAAGTTTTATATTAAACAATAAGGGATGTTTCGTCTCATTTGATAAAACAACAAATTATGAGACTGACAAATTTGTTTTAATGATTACATAAATAATGATGTACTCTCTTCAGCAATCATTGTTTTATTCTTTTTTTATTCCTTGTTTTATTTTTTTTTTTTTTAACCTATTTTTTCCTTTAATTATAGCTCAAACCTTTAATATAAAATTATTAAAATGTAGATTATTCCATTTTTGGTGTAAACGACATCGGCCGCATGGCGGGGAAGCATACTCGCACGCAACCGCGCGTATACATATTTATCCATGGGTGTTTAAACCGGGGCTGTTTTTACATACACACAATATACGTGTGTATGCGGGGGTAATTTGTTCATTTATAAATTTGAAATAAGAGAAAGGTGTCTCCATGATGTCTTTTTAAAAGGGGTGCACAAAAAGTTTTCTCTTTTTTTTTTTTTTTTGAGGATTTTGCGCACTAGGTGCATCGAATGTGAGTCCAATTGGGAGCAAATGTAAGCATAAACGGTTTTAAGGAGAAGAAAAAAAAAAAAGCCAAACGGTTTAAAAAAAAAGGGGGGTACACTACAGATGGCATATCCACACCATGAATCTTCCTCTGCATCTGGCTTGGTGTAGTGAATTGCCACAAGAAAGTGTAGCAACTATTCCTCCTTCATATCGCAAAGGTAAATAATTGAAGAGTGAAATATTGTAAAGACAAATGATAATTTATCAATTTTTTCAGACGCCTTTAAGTTATCTACATACATGTGTAAGTGAATGGAGTGGTTAATTATGTTTTGTATTTGACCAAACGAAATTGCCGCCACGAGAATTGAAATCAGGCTGTCACTGTTTATATCGTAAATTGCTAAATTTTGTTTCTTCAGGTTTTGATTTGTGCATGAAATGATTTCACATATTATGTTGCTGACGTTATCTAGGATGTATATTTTGTCTATTGGATTATTGCACTTTTCGATCTGCGATTGAGAAGTGAGGAGGGGCACAACAGGGGTGTGATATAAGGAAGGTGCGCAATGGATACAAATCTATATAATTGAGCATGTAAAGCGTGTATGTAAACGATGCTGAAAATGCACATGTAGAGAGTGATTCGCACAGGTGGGCGCTTCAAGTGTTGAAAATATGCACCGTTCTATACTTATTTGTTGTGTCGCTCGTGAATTTATTTTATTTTTTTTTTTTTGCCGCGCCGATCCCTCCCTTACCTGCTTGATGTGAAAGGCAGTCGTTTCCACATGGAACATGCTGATATTTCCTAGATTTAATTTTTTTAAAAATCGGCTAATGTCCTTTCTCAGGTAATTCATTTTTTCCTGAACCCTGTGTTCTATTTGTTGGTAATTTTTAGATAGCTGTTTCCATATAATATTATAGAGATAGGAATATGTGTACTTGATTAGTGGCATCTTTATGTTACTTTTAAATGTGTATTCATTGGCGTTGCTTTGTAATTTGAGTGTGTCGTCTACCATGTTGACGATTTTTTTTCCAATGCAGTTTTCGAATCCCTTGACGATAATGTACGAGTGGGCAAATTGCACAAGTTGTGTGTGTAGAAATTTGTGGCATTTTTCGTTTTGCTTAAAAAATAGGGTTACGTTGTGTTTGCACTGTATCGCATTGGGTTCTCCCCACGCGGGCTTACTGAATTGGTGGTCCGCCTGTGCATCCGCTGGCCCACCTTCATCGTTGATGTAACTGACGGGTGTACTATCTTGGTACCCTCCTTCCAATGGAGTATTAATAAATATAATTTTCAAAAATTTATAATTGGGATTCGTTTCTACTTTTAAAATTTCGCAAATCCTGCTTTCCTCAAATCCGTACCCTGTGGTAACACACCTAGCGTGAATTTCGATGGACTGGCCGGCCAAATTTATGTATACATTTTTTAAGTGGCTCTTGCAGCATATGTGTTTTTTCATAAAATCTATATCTATGCTTATATTTACCAGGGTTTTTGCTTCTGGGAGTAGAATTATGTGTGTCCTGCTTGACAAGTTTTCATGGAAGGGTTTGTACTTGCTCCCCAGGATGCTCAGCACGGGGTGCACTCTGGCAGGTTCCATTTGGGTGGGCTTCTGCTCTCGTGGGGCTGCTTCGTACAGCCGGGAGTTTTTACGCGGTTTTACGCTGCTTTACTGAGCTTTGCGTACCCTTGCATGGTGCCCCGTCTGGTGGGTAACACCTCAGTAGGGGGCGTCACTTTCAGGGGTTGCCTGTCCCATGCACGGGGGTAACCTCTCAGCGGACTCGAAACGAATTTCATTTGGAGTAACCCCTATGGCGACATCCGCTGGGGGGACCGGCTCACGGAGTTTTCTACCCTCTGAGCCTTATCCCTTGCGTAATGCGCTCGGTGGAAAATGACTCACGGGTTACGCCAATCCAATTTGTGCAACTAAGCACTTGTTCATTCTCTTTTCTGCGTAGCATTTACCGTCAGTAGAACGTGGCATCTATTGGCAATATTTTTTTTACTTTTCATTTTGTGAAAACCCCCCCGCAGTAACTGCGCGGATACACGCAATGAAAAAAAAACAGCGTAAATTTTTTAGATGAACTGTTTAATTTTTTTTAAATAAAAAAGGTCCCTACAATGACATGTGACCCACCCTTGTGGAACGAAATAAAAAATGCGGGGCTTTACCTGATATCACAATTTAAAATAAGCTTTCCCCCGTTGGCATTTTCAACTTAGCGCCAGTCATTTTTTCAAAAAGGGCAGCAAGAAAGAAAAAAAAAAAGTTACCGAGCTGCTAGTTGTTATTTTATTTTATTTTATTTTTTTTTTTTTCTCAGTGCATTTTTTCAGTCGTTGGGAAAAGTAGCGCAACATGGTCAAAACCGTGTCCCAGCGGTATCACACGTGGTGGACCATTTTGTCAAACATTGCTACTCCATGCCAAGGTATATTTTGTTTATTTTTGTGGGGAATGCTTGTCCTTCTTTTCCCTGCTGCACAGCCCCATCTCTGCTCCACAACATTATGCTTCACCATTCTACATATATGCGCTTTTGTGGAGTTGAACAGAATCCATCTTTATATTCCATTTACCAAAAAGCTGGTTAACAGCTGCTACACCCTTAACCGCTAAGGCGCGAACAAGTGCATGAGAACATTAAAACGAAAAAGCGTTTTGGAGTTTTTATTTATATATAATTTTATTTTATTTTATTTCCTCTGCGTCTACATGCCCAGCAAGATATGTTAGAAACGTATGCTTGTTGATGGACTTCCTTTGCAGACACATGCAAGGGTTAAAGTTACAAAAAAAAAAATTTTTAATGGAAAAATGGAGAAATAAAAAAAAAAAGGAAACCATTAATATGCAATTTAAAGGAATACTACAATGACATATCAACAGAATGATATACACATTAATTATAAAAAAAAAAAAAAAAAATTCGCGTTTGGCGGCGCGACGATTTAATTATACATATATATATGTGTGGGTGGGGAAGCCCTTTTTTTTTTTGTTTGTTTCACGGGTGGATTTTCTCGCATTCGGTGATGTCCCGTTTTTTTTTCCCCTCACCCACTTCATCCTGCTGGCGACACTCAGTAGGACGTGTTGTAGGCCTGCAAATCGAGGGAATGGATGATCTGCCTTTGTATTTCGAGGGACTGGGTTGAGGGCAGAACGTTGTTTAAAATTTCCATGCTGAACAATCGAAGGTAAGGAATGAGGGATGACACGCCAATGGAATTCTGGGTGTATTCTATGTGGTACTTGATGGACTGCTCCTTTCTTTTCTTCTCCTTATTTAACACATCTTCAATTTTTACGTTGGTCGTGGAGCTGATATTCTTGTATAAATGAAATAACTTCGGGATGGAATTCATTAAAATGTCATTCAGGCAAATGATGATGGCCGTTTTCAGCAACTCATAATACTTGTCGTCAATGTTCAGTGTTGGGAAGGAGCTGTTATTTTCCCTTGAGACCTACAATGAGAAAAGAGAGAAAAAAAAAAAAAAAATGTAAAATATATATCCATAAAATATGTACAAAGGGCGGCGATTAACGTGGTTGGGTATACTCATAAAAAAATAAAAAAGCACACCAGGTTTGATAATTCAGCACTCTCCTCGTAAGTATATGCTCAAATGAAGGAGTCATGCGCATGTGTAATGGAACATCGGATCGAGGGATATATATATATATATATACACACTTTATGGGAGATGATTATTACCTTTTTCGTTTCGCCCAGGCAATCGTCTTTGTTCGAGTCTACTTGTGTGGAGCCATTATTGTTTACATCGGTTGCATTTTCAAATAAGCCCTCTGTGAAATCGTTTTGCGCTTCTTGCTTGTTCTTGTACTGATAGTTGTAGAGCGAGTTACGTTTGGAGTTTTCTGGGCTGGAGTTATAAAAGTGTGTTAAGTTGTTAGCGTTTATTTGTCCCTGGTCGGAAGTGTTGTTGAGTTTTCCGGCCAGGAGGTTTCCACTGCTTGGGCTGCTGTCGTTCAGGCCTAAACCCAGAGCTCCTAGTCCTCCCAGGTGTGCTTGTCTACGAATTTGGTGGATAGCCTCGATGCTTAATTTGTATGCCTCTTTAACACCGCGCCTTATAACTGAGTAGGCTTTTCTATACCCATTAATTTTAATTCTAAAGCATTTGTTCGCTTCGTCATATATGAGTCCTTCAACAAGTTTGCACTTGTGGACTTCTTTGTTTATTCGTATGTCTCTTTCCTCAACAGTTTCGTCTAGCAGTCCACCAAAATTGAATGCCTTATTTTCCCCATCGAAGTTAAACGTTTTGAATAGGTCATCTTTTCCATGTTCATAATTTTCGTCTCCTGGGTAACCAATATTATTTGAATAAGAAAAGCACAAATTATCGTCGATGTTTTGCGATATCAATTTATTTAGCAGGTCTACTTCTGTGAGTGCTTTATTGTTTTGTGCTTGTGTGTCGTAGTCGTTATGGGTGCCGTTTTTTCCGTACGGTTCATCATGTGTACAGTGTTCGCCGAAAGTGGTTGATATTTTGTGCAGGTTGTTGTTTCCCTCTCCCAGGCCTCTTCCCATTCCGCTGGTGTTGTTTGGACCATCGTCGCTGTCCAGCCCAGCAAAAATAACGTTGCCTGTCTTGCTTCCATCATCGCTGTTCATACCAGTTTTTATTAAATTCATGTTTGGACTCACATGGTTGCTACTACTGTTGCTTTTTCCATTTTTATAATCTTCTGATTTATTCAAATCCGTTTTCCCATCCTCCCCCTTCAGATAATAATCCTGGTTATTATTAATATTTTCCACTTCGTATATATGTGTTGGAGAATAATTCGCAGTGTTTCCACCGTTGTTGCTTATGGCGCTATTACTAGAGGAGAGATTGTGTGCATTTGCTTTTTTCAATAGGTTAGTTTTGTTCTCTTTGAGCAATGCTTCTGCTCCTGTGCCTTCATTTAACAGGTGCATTAAATTCGAATCCGTCATCATGGACATTATCCCATTTTCATTCTTTGATTGGCCATAATTTGCTCTGAGCCTCTTGTCGCCATTACACTTATTAGTCTTTCCATTCAGGTTTGTTTTATCATCTTCCAAATTGGCACAATTTTCGTCGTAGCTTACGCTGTTAGTACTACTGTTGTTGGTTACGTCCTTTTTACTTCCACTGCAGTTGCCTGAGCAGATACTTCCACAGGCTCCGCTACACATTGTGCTTCCCCCAATTGTAGTGCACATTCCTGTGCAAACTGCACCACAGACCGTACTACAATTACTTGTGTTTGTGCACGCTGTACCATTTGCGGAGACGTTTCCAATACCGGTTGCCTTCTTATCCCAAAGGTAGTCATAAATGTTTGAGGTAGCGAATCCAAGATTGTTGTTTCCCTTTGCGCCAAAGGCACCACTTCCTACCACACCTGGTAAACCTCGTGTGTCTCCACAAGGAGCGAGATCCTTATCATTATTCCCATTACCCATGTTACATAAGGACATTGTTTTTTTTTTTAAATTTTCGTCTTCCACATTTGGGAGAGAAGACTCATGTGCAAAATTTCCTTTTTCATCTTTAATGAGTCCATTATTGTTGGCATTTTTTACATTATACTTGTAATTGCTAGACATACTTGAGCTTTTTTGAGGATAACATTTTCCTCCTTTGTTTGTTTCTAAAATGCGGTTACGAAATTCAGCAGCTAATTTGTATGCTTGGTACACCCCTCTGGTTCGAACTCCAAAGGATTTTCTAAATCCACATACACTCACAGTCCAGTAGTTTCTTCTCTTGTCAAAGAACATTCCTTGTAGCTTTGGCAAGCTAGCGGCTTGGTTTAGTATTTCACTTTTGGGCAATCTCACATTTATGTTGTTGTCAATAAGGCAATCTAGTTTCTCATTGATTTTGTTAAGGGATCTATTGTCCACGTTTGTATTATACTTTTCATAATTGCGCAGGCCTCCCCTTTTACCACTATTATTATTATTATTATGCGTCAAGTCTGTGTTCATGGTGGTTGTAGTTGTAGTAGTATTACTAGCTGCAGTAGCGTTATCAGCATTATTTCTAACATATTCTAACATAGCAGCAATGTCTGCTCCTGCTACAACTCCCTGTTGTTGCTTCAACAAATTTATGTGATTACTACTCGCGTTGTTGCCATTCATCATTATGTCACTACTGGAGTCGATGTTATTTGATCCTAGAAAATTCGAATCATAATTTACTTCGTTTTTTATTCCCCTTCCTCCTCCCAAGGTGCATTTCGCGGCCCCACTTGCAGTAGCCGTGCCATCCTCCTGATAAGCATTGCTGTTGTTGTGGGAGGTGCTGTTATAACCATATTCATTCGTTAGACTTCCCTTCTTTTGCCTGTCCGATCCAGAGTAGTCCATTTTGTAACATCCATCTTCGTCATTCAACAGGTAGTCATTACTTCCATTAAGTAGGTGGCTATTTTCATGCAGGTCAAAATATTTTTTGCTGTCCATTAGTCCTTTTCGCACCGTACCACTAATGTTGCTATTTCGAGTTGCATCATTCCTTTCGTGGTTGTTTATGTTACTTTCGTTATCATCGTCACTTTCTGCGTTATCGCTACCCGCAGTAGCATTATCTGCGTTATCTCCAATGCCATGTTTTCCCTTTCCAACGTGTCGCTTGTTACCTTTTTTCCTTTTCGTTGTCTTTTCATTTTCATTATCAACAAAATTGGAATGACTCAATTGGTTAAAAAAATCGCTATTTTGCATAAGGAGCAAGTCTGCTTTTCCATTGCCTTTTCGATCGGTTAGATCTGCTGCGTATTTATAGGCTTGAAGGAGCGCCATAGCGTTGTTCCCCTTTATGTCGTTCCCATTCTGAGAGGAGTGAGCAAGTTCATCGTTGGGTAACTCTAGCTTTATTAACTTCCTTGGGTCTGCATAGTTCAAATTGTTACTATCATTTCCGTTGTTCATCATGATGAATTTTCTTTTTTCAGCCGTTTTTCCGCCATTTGGAAACTGCTGCTTATAAGCTGCATCCTCCTCTTCCTCATCGTCATCATAATCGTCATAGTTGTCTTTTCCCGTATTGCCACTACCACTGTTATTTCCCTTTCCCATGGAAACGAGCATGTTTCTTATTTTACTGAAGAAGCTAGCATTCACCTGGGCAGAGTCACCGAACTTGCTGTGGTCCTTATCTTTATTATAATAATCTACGTTTTTGCCTTTGTTGCCTTGAATGAGATCTGTCCCTGCCGCACCACCATCATCTGCATGTGCATCTGCATCTTCCTCATTGTTATGTTCATTGAGGTGATGTTCATTAGTGTTATTGTCAAACTCAAAATTGTTAATGAAGTCTCGAATGGACTCTGAAAAATCTTCCTTATTCTCGTCAAAGTTATTGGATTTTTTAACTTGAAGAAAATACTCACAGCATTTTTTATAGGACAATACAACATCGTTATTATAGTCACATGGATTGAAAAAGCTGATTCGTAGGTTTTTATTTATGTCTTTAAAGAATACAACCCACTTTTTCATTTTTTCTTCCCAAATTATTCCTTTTACCCAAGGTTTCAAGCTGTAGGCTAACTTGGTCTGCTCACAAGTATTACTACTTGGTAATTTTTGCCTACATTCGAAGTAATTCAATTCTTTGAAGGTGTCGTCTAGCTGGGCGTGATTCTTTTCATCCTGGACAAAATCGGTAATGTTGTGCGGGCCGTGGTTGGCATTCGTTTGTTTATTGCCATCCGTTTGGCTATTTTCATCTGTGTTTTTGTTGTCGTCCACTTGGCTATTCTCCTCCGCCTGTTCCTCCCGCTCAGTTTGGCTGTGACCATGACCACGATCAGCACCATCGTCAAGCTGTTCGCCAATCTGTTCTTCACCCTTTTCTACATTTTCTGCTGCGTTGTTTTCCTCCCCCTTTCGTTTATTCAAATACTCCACTGCATCCTCGAACGCCCTGCATATTCCCCCTTCAAACGAATACGTCCTCTTTTCCTCGTCCTTGTAGTCCACCACAAAGCACAGGTTTTGCAGGTCATACGAAATTTCTTCAATTGTAGGGAACTTGTTCAATTCACTGGTTAAGTAAAAAGCAAACGAATTCATTCTCATTTGTGAGCAGTATTTATAACCAATTTCTACTCCCTCTTTGTTCTTTACGTAGACATGTTTAGTAATTTCTTTTCCTCTTTCGTCCCACAATTTGCATACCCACATATTTCTTTGTTCGTTCCACTGTATGCCTTTTTTCCATGGGTATAACATCATAGCAATTTCTTTACATTCGATGTTTTGTTTTGTTTTTTTTTCCTCCAGTTGGTTTTTTTCCGTTGATTTATCCTCCTCCTGCGTTGTTGTCATGGTATCGTTTGGTGCATTGTTGTTCTCTACATTTTGGTCGGTTATATTTTCCACATTTTCCTCTAGACCATCCCCTTGCCTTGTTTGTGTATCCTCATCCAAGTTGTTTTCCCCGTTCAATTTTTCCTCCTCCTGGTTAACTACGTTTGGCTCTTCATCGTTGCTTGGCTTGTTCGCTACAACGTCGCCATTACTGCTCGTATGATAAAGAGCTATATCATTCTGAGAAGAGTTCACTTGGCTTTCACTTTCGAGATCCTTTACCGGAATAGATTCGTCCCCTTGTTCCGTGTCAACATTCATCACATCATCGTCCTGTTCATCCTTCACTGTGATGTAATCGTCATAATTGACAGATGCTTCCAGGTGCCTTTTGATTACACTTTCGAGTTCGTTCATGGTGGAAGCACCAAAACTGCCCTGTTGTTCATTATCCCTGCTTTCATTCGTTACATTTTCAGCCGTTCTACCCACCACAGAGGGAGTATTCAAATTTATTAAAGTGTTAATTCCTTTAATAATTTTTTCATGACCATCATCATCATTATTAGCGTTATTACTGCTATTACTATTATTATTTTTGTTCATTAGGTTTCTTATCATTTTGTTGAGGTTGAGTAGATTTTCATAATTTAAATGTTCATTAAATTTGTGTTTTTTTTGTACTTCATTTTGCACATGCTCCTCATCATCGTTGGCATGTCCTCCTTCTTCTGCGTCTCTGTCTCTTTGGAAAAATTGGCCAAAGGCGTGTTTTGCCCCGGCCCGATTGCCAAGATCATTTTCGTCGCTGTGGCTTCCCTCCACGGTATCTTCACCAAAGTGTCTTGATCTACGTCGCATATGTTTGTCTTCCCTCATGTGGTCCCCCCTTTCATCCAAATTTATAGATGAGTCTAATCCTGCATCTTTTCCACTACTCAATTTTAAAAAGGCTTCAAGAATTTGTGGATTTGTTATACCTTCACTTGTACTTGCATCAAAGAGAGAATTTTTTTTCTTCTTACTAGTACTACTAAAACTACTACTGCTAAATGCATTGTTTATGCCGTTGTGGTTATTACTGCTATAGTTTTCATTATTGTTTACTGCATCAAACTCTTGGCTCTTTATGAGATGGTTCCATTTGACTACTCCTAATGTCCTCTTTTCATTTTCCTCCTCATCCAAGGTATGGTTCACCGTGGTGCTACCACTGTCGATGGATTTATTATTCATATTGCTATGTTTAAATACGTTGTTCAGGAGGTTGTAAGTATTTTGGTCTTCCTCATCTATAAGGCTGGTGTTCACAAGTTGCAATAGCTTTGCATTATTCTCATCACTGTTCCTTTTTATACTACTCAAGTAGGCCAAACTTGATGGTTCATTGTTGTTTTTGCCCGACATATTATTATTACTACTATTACTACTATTTGTGAGAATATTTTTATGACTATCAAATACGCTTCCAATAATTCCATCGTCCTCTAGCAGAGGATAACTAGAAGCGTTCAGTGGTGTATAACTTGAGTCGTTATACAAGTCTGGCTTAAAATGAGCATTATTATTACTGTCATTTGCGCTGTTGTTGTTACTTCCTCCGAATGCGCGATGGGCTAAGCCTTTGACACCGGCCAATAAATCATCTTCATCATTTTCATTTACGCTATTGTTGGAGTTGATCTGCTTTGTGATATTATTAAAGTAATGAAAATCGTTACTCAAAAATGACGTATCATTTTTGTAAAAATTATTATATTCATTTTGGTGTATATTTTTATCCGAACACGGATTTCCTACATCCGAATCTGATTGTCCCACTTTGTGCTTCTTGTCAGACATGTAGTCACTGTATGTGTTATTATTGTATTCTCCTCCTCCTCCAAAGAAATGATGTTTACTACTACTACTACCCCCCCCGTTGTATATATTATTTTCATGATGGGCAATTAGCCCATTCATTTCTTCACTGTTAATGGGGGTTGTTAATAGCTTGTTTGCTAGGTTAAACAGTTTATTTGTTTTTTCTTTACGTTGTGAGATGGAAGAAGAAAGAACACTACCTTGGTCGCTCAGGTCATTTTCTGACGAAATTAATCCTTTCATATTATCTCCCTTGAACATTTTTGCAATTGGGCCGGCGTTGGCACCGACACCTTGATTGACATTTTGATTCGTACTTTGGTTAGAATCTTGGCTTGAATTTTTACACATTTTTTCCTGATTACAAACGGTTAATCTGTTGATGCACTGAACTGCCATTTCGTATGCGTTATTATAACCATATATATCCACTGGGAATTTGTTAACCAGGACCTTGTTGTCGTAGTCGTACGTGACTACCCACTCCTTTTGTATGGAGTCGTACGAAAGGTACTTGAAGATGAGTTTGTTTTTCCCTTGGATATCTGTAGAGGGGAGAGAGGGGTAAAATGTGTAATCGTATACGGGACTCCAAGCACACATAACGGGGGTGCAACTACAGATGGCGTACAATTACAAATGGGTACAAAACGGCGTGGCGGTGAGACCGATTTATAGCGTACCTTTAAATCCGTTCGGTATTTGCGAATTGATGTTCAAAAGGTTTAGGTGGGACGTTTTCGCTTCGCCCTGCTGCTTCTTCAAGTGACCCAAATTAGCCGTTTCGAAATTTTTCCTGTGTTGTATGGCTAGCCTTCTGGCCTCCTCGAACCCATACTTATAAACAGGAAAGTATCTATTGATGCATCTTCCATTAATACAAATGCCGGAGAGCCATCTGTTTTGTGATTTGTCAAATCGAACCCCAACTACGTGGGGTAACTTCTCTGCCATTTTGGCATAATTATTTTCACTACTATTGGATAAATGTTTGGTTCGATTACAATTAGTTTTGCTAGAAGCATTTGCACCTGCGTTGTATCCCTTCCCTTTATCTGCTCTAAGTGAGTTGTTACTTCCATTATGTTCCATTTTTACTTCATTTTTTATATCCAACATTTCATCGTTTTGCGCCCGATGGTTTTTTATTCGGATTCTTTTTTCATTGTCACTTGAATCTTTTAAGTTGTTACTATCGTCAAAGAAGTCGTTTTTTTTACTGTCATGGGACATGATCGAATTGACATCGAGGTCATTTATCATTGGGTTGTTTCCTACCCTTTGGTTGTGATTATACATGTCATGATATTTTCTCTGTTCCTTTGTTTTAGTCGTCCCTGATGTTTCAAATCCGTCTGACGTTTCACCTCTTTTTAGACAGCTCATTCGACCTTTACCATCTTCGCTGTTTAAGTCATTACTATAATCGCTGTTATAATAAAACGAATTCATAGTTTTCTTCCTCCTCGCTCTGACTGGTCTTTTACTTAGATCTTTCTTCATTTTCTTTTATTTATTTTTTTTTTTTTTTTTGATCTTCCCTCGTTTTGCTCACCTAACCGCTAGTTCGAGTCTTGTCTCTAGCGAGGTATCGAAAGCGTAGTTTAATGAACTATTGATTCACCAATCTACGGATTCTCCACTTTCGCTGATTTATGTAAATGTCATAATATATAAAGGCTGGCGCAGGGAAAGCAGGTACAGAGGATATGGTTCTGTTGTGCCTAGCTGTGCGATTATGTATGGGTCTCCTTATGGGGGTTGCCTATGCGACTGTCTGTGCTTCCACCAACGTGTCTTCCCACGTATACGTAGGTATGAAGGACACACAGGCAGAGCAATTCGGCCCCCGGAGTTACAAGAAATATTCAAGAATTACAAAACAGATGGTGATTATATACAGAAGAACATAAGGCAAAAAATTACATAAATGCAATAAAAAAAAAGGAACACTTAAATTAAACACTATTACTACTGCGGCATTATATATATATATATATATATATATATATAAATGTATGTATTTATGCACTATGAGCAACAGTTTTTTTAAAGACTATAAAAATGACTGAAACAAATAGACCAAAGAAAACAGGAGTATGTGGAAGGCGCTGTAATAAGGAAGTAATATGTGGAACTACAAAAAATACAAAAAGACGTACAAAAAGAACTACAACAGGAACCATAAAAAAAAAAAGGACTACAAAAAATACTACAAAACAGACTATAAAAAATAAAAAACTATTGAAAAAAATGTTTTAGAGGGAATAATAGAAAAAATTACAAAAGGAACAATAAAAAAAAGTGGAAAATATATATATATATAACTGCTATTAAAATTGTATAAACAGGGTTACAAAAATAAAAAACATGTAAATAGCTGTGCCAATTAATTTATTAAACACAGAGAGAGAGAGAAAGAAAAAAGGAATGTTGTAAAATTATTTGTAAGACGTATATGAACCTATGCAGTGGGCATATATATATATGTTCTCACCCGGGGTGGCAAATATACGGACAGATATAATAATAACCCAACATGTACATTTATCCGCAGGGCGCAATAAAACAAATGTATAGATGCAAATACAATTACAATTGTTGTTGTACTACTAACATATTGTTCCACATGTCATATTATACACAGTGTGGCGTATTATGCCATGTAACTATATATATAAATATACACGCTATGTGATAAATATAAATGATACACGTTGAATCGAGACGAGGACTTAAAGTACCTGTACCACAGATTATTCCTAACCTTGCACTGGAGTATGCTTAGGTTATATGGTGCCTACATCTGATCAAATCTGCATCTGCATTTGAGACTGCAGGGTTATAAGTATATATACTCATATAAGGCAAAGAGGAAAATGCGGTAAACACGTTGGTGTTCCTTTCGGGACGCAAATTCCAATTCGTTAATCTGCCTTACTGGTCTGTATTAAACACGATTCGAAATATAGAAACAGGTAAAGAACCAGTACAAAAAGATATGTAAAAAGAAAAAGGGGGAAATAAATATGCAAAAAGGAGATAAAAAAAAAAAAAAAAAGAACAGGCACAAGTATAAATAGAAAGGTTGAATCTCCCAATCTAGTTCTTTTCCCTTCAGCTTAGTTCAGTTCACATAGAATATTCAAAGAAAGAATGTATATATAATATATGTTTATATACACGGATCATACAAACGAATAGAATATAAAGTGATTAGTAAAAAATTGTATCTTTTTAATGCATACCACATTCATACAAAATAAGAATGGAAATAATTCTCTAAAATTAAAAATGTAAAATAAATGAAAATAATACCACTAAAAAAAAAAAAGAAAAAAGCTCATTTTAATTAATGTATTTTTTTTTAATTAATTTTTTCAAATTTAGAATAAATTTTTTTTAATTTAATAAAAAAAAAGGAAAAGAAATGGAGCAAAAACAGTTCTGAAATGTATAGAATAAAATTTTCCTTTTTTAAATTAATCTAAAATTAAATCTATGACCTGTATAACGGGACAACTATTTTCTCTGTTCCCCGCGCATGAAGTTAATGCAGTATGTAACAAATTTTATTTTCTTCGACGGTGCAGTGTAACTGTTGCAATATATGGTACATACAATACATATATATGTATGGGGGGTAAAGGGTCGGCATAGGAAATATGCAAGGGAGTGGGTGAAGAATAACGTCCGAATTATGTATATACAATACAAGGGTACTTATATAATTGTAATATGTTTATACGACAAACCACCTGGTGCACATGGTCAACAGCTAAAGCGTGTTATATTATACGCAAACCCTTATGGGGCATATGTGGTCAGCGCACGTACGGCAGTGACCCCCATACATACAACGGTATGGAACTCAGGCATGCAACTTCAACACGTACGGGTTATAAAATGTACATACATATATATGCATATATATATATATACATCCATACGCACCTAGGCCTTGAGTCCATAAGGGGTTCCCATTACATATTTGCGGGCCCACGCGTGAGTCTACAAAAAACATACATGCAGTTTTTGGTTACAATGTGGGGGTAGGTTTTTTTGTTACAGCTTAATTAGCGGTATGTATTTTTATACATATATAACTACAAAAAAAAAAAAAAAATAGCAAAAAAAAATAAAATAAATAAAATAACGCGATGATTGCACTGTTATATTTTATATGTTTATTTGTTTATTTATTTATTTTTGTATAAGTTGTGATATAGATGCGAAGGTGGTGCGCGGTGGTGGTTGAAATTAAAAACAACTATGGAAACAACAACGCAAAAGTGTTGTAAACGTTACTTGTATACCTTTATATGGTACATTTTTATGCATACATATGGATATGTGCACTTTATATTATGTATGTATATAAGCAACAAAGCGGTTAAAGTGCACAGCGCGTGTATGCAAAAAGAAAAAAAAAAAAAAAAAAAAAAAAAAAAAAACGACTTAAATCTTTAAATGAACGATAAAGGTTTGGACACTTAAAACTACTGCGACGCGTAAGGCATATATATTATATATAAATACATACAGGAAAAAAACAAACAAAATAAAAATGAAAAAAAGAAAGAAACAAACTAAAAACAAATAAAAGGGAAACAAAAGAACAAATGAGGCATAAATTTGCAATACGTACATAACAGCATATATAACACACATACATATAACATACATTTATTATATATGCATCACAGTATACATGCGCGCTCTTTTGAATTTCCCGCTTAAATGAATTTTTCAAATTTTCCTTTTTTTAATACACTCTTGCGAACATATTAAAAAAAAAAAAAATAATAAATAAATAAAATAAAATAAATAAAAATATAGTAAAATAAACTTAATTTAATTTGTTTAATTTGTTTTAATTTGTTTTAATTTAGCAAAAGGGATTTCCTTTTTGTTATTTTTCTTTTCGTTTTATTTTCTCTTTTTTTACAAAACATGAATTTATAAAATATATTTTAAAAATGGAGAAATAAACAGAGTGTATATGTAATGGCACAAATGATGCATTTAGCTGAGCATATATACACAGGACTATACATACGTGTAGATTGTGCGGATGTATAAATATGAGCATGCACACACAACACGTATGACCTCTATACGCATATATATAGCTTTAATCTGCCGGTTTAATTTATACTGTGGAGAATATACACATAGATAATCCTTAATTCATCTGGGTGTGGGGAGCGCGAATGGCTTTACCCGCATCTAGGTTATTTATGCATATATTACACAAGTGCATACGGGTATATATTGGTGTTATGTACATATTTATAAATTCACGAATCTACAGTTGTACTTGTTTGGATGTGCTGGTATATGCATACAGACTGTACATCTGTGCACCGAGATGAATAAAAAAAAAAAAAAAAAAAAAACAAGGACTATGGATTGCACGCCCGCTTGTACACCTTTATATGCAGGGACATACATGCGCACGGGTATGTTCACCGCCACAGTGTGATTATAATGGAACAAAACAAGTACTACGAGTTGTGTACGAACCCCAGTTCATTCGCATGTACGTGTTGTACACACGTTGTTAACAGTTTGCATGAAATGAAATAGCCTTCCACATGCACGGACACGTTTGCGCTCATTTGTATGCGCGTCGCATCGATCACGTCGTTACTTCCGCTTTCGTAAAAGCCTCCACGCTAACGTAGCATGGAATGTAAATAAGCCTTTAGAGCAGTTGCTATATGTACTGCGTGAAGGAACAGGTACACATACACAAACGCGTAACAACACAAAAAGCGGTGTGCTAAAAAAAAGTGTAGGTGTGGCATATGCTTATAGAAACTATTAGTGCGTGTATGTGAAGCATCGGACCTGACGGCAGAAAAGGGGTACGGGACGCATCGGATGCGTATACTGATGTAAGCACATACTAGTGTAATGCGCAAGAATGTTACTACACGCTATGCAACTTACGCGTGCATGTGATAGCACATATGTATAGGTGGCCGTTTATATGCAGCGAATGTTGCCTTAGCGTATACACAGAGGTACTTACGTGCGAATACATATGCAGGTACATGTATTTTACGCACGTGTACATGTGCTCACGCGTAGGCGCATTTGCGTATATCACATCTCGATGCTTGTGCAAAAGTTGCGGATAAGCATATGCGTGTACAAGCCTGAACAGGTATATATGAAAGGAATGCACAAGGTTGTTCAAAAAAAGAAAAAAAAAAAAAAAAAAGATATACATATGTTCACGTATTGTACTCTTACATGTGCTTTTGTATACGTAGGCAACGAAGGCACAGGCGAACGTAAGAGCGAGCGTAAACACATAGGTGTTTTATCTATGGTCGCGTGTACAACGTGAAGAATTTTTTTTTTTTTTTTTTGCAATAAATAAATCTCTTCGGGTACGCGAGTTAAATCAAAGATACAGTTATATAGGTGTAAGTTCATTTATACAGTGCAGTCGTGCATAATGCTCTTTTTTACTCAACTTTACAATCTATCAC